ACATTTCGTAATTCCCGCATGAGTTTGACTGACTATAAGTATACTATAGATTATAATTTAGACTTGAATCAATATATTGTAATCTATTCTGATAAAGTTTCTAGAGGATTTTTTCCATCATTCCAGTTTTTGATGTCATAAAACAGTGTTCCATTTCAAATTGCACTTGTCAAATATGATTATGCCTGTACAAACGGTATGTCAATCATGTAAATGCTTAATTTACGTGAATAAAATATTATTACTATTATCTCTGTGCATACGTATGATGAGTGCGTAGAATTAACATCTAATCAGTGATGCTATTATTACACCAACCTTGTCCGACTTGAGAGGCAATCCAGAACGCTACCCGAGCCAAAATGACTTATCACTGTTGTTCCAGAAACTAGTCCTTCCATCAAAATAACTACCCAGACTACAGACCAACGGCTTGTATTGCTGCAGAAAACTAATCTGGGTTGTGGTTTTTCATTCTGAAGGCACGGCAGTGGGCTAGTGAAGCGAAGAAACCTAGTCAGATATACAGAAGGGTACTCGCAGTTCACTAGGCTAAGACAGGCTCATAAGTCCTAACGAAGTTATAGTTCCTACTTGGTTTATAGTCTCATCCTGAATCACTTAATTTCTAGCTGCTGCTGAGTGGATATAATGTAGTTTGTGGTACACGCCCCACATTGCAGTCTTTGTCTCTTTCAGATAGATGCTGCACTTCTCAGCTATGTCAGACACTGTCCATGTTATTTTATGACCTCTTAAGAGTGATGGACCTCTACGCCATGCCTCAGGATATTTGTGGCGGACCTTAGACCTAGCCAGCTTAATATACCGGATTCGAATAGAAATAAAAAATACAAAATCCGTACAGTGACTGGAAGAATATATTAAAATTTGCTACTTGGGTTATTACAAGGTTCAAAATCCACAATTAACTTAACAGACTCCACAAGTATTGTGAGAAGACTGTTCCAATCTTAATTCTCCAATGTCGATATTGCCAGAGGTCGACCAAGGTAACGTAGGGAGAAATTACGGCGTCCCTGCGAAATTTTGAAATAGAAGATAGGTAATTAGAATTGGCCGATGGCAGTTGAGATGGTGGAGAAGACGGAGAGTTGTAGGCAGAACTCTATTTTTATTTAAAAAACGAAGTTAAGTTCCAAGTACAGAGATTTTGGTTAAAACAAAGTAATGTACAATATGTTCATTTCTCACATATTAGTAAAAGTTGGATAGGTTTATTTTTGAGGACTCCACAGATTCATCCTTGACATGAATTCTATGGGGTGAAGTTTGCTACATGAAACTTCTTAATCGTCCTATGGACAGCGGCCTGGGAAAAATACACTAGGAACGATTTGGAGACCTGTGTTCATCAGGATATCTCTCTAAATCGGCTTCTATCCCTACTGGCGAATCTTATAGACCTAATGACTTCTTTCACAGGAAGAGAACCGTGGCTCCTAACCAGGGAAATCACCTATGTCAGGCTATTCATGGATAGTGAGTAGTCATTTAAGTAGATACTTTTCTAAAACCTTGAAACTGCACCAGATATCTCAACAGACTTTTCCGAAGTGTAATGTGCACATCGAGACGGTGTGAAACTGAAAGAGTGAACAGTTAACATATGTACAGAAAACATACGATTTGTCACCGTACCTCCCACTTACCACACAAAATGTTTTCTCTATTTCAACCTGTAATCTTGGCCCGTGGGCATCTCTAGGCGTCATCGGTGACCGGTAAAGCCCCAGCTCAAAATCATATAAGTACATCTGTCGGGTGTTCACATCAGAAGCTGCCAAGTTACCATTTCCGAAACTGTCAGTGACTCGATCAGCAATTTTTGCTGTCACCAGAAAGTAACTCTGTAGAACTCTGAATACTATCTATATAATAACCCGCCTAACTTCAATGCGAATGATACTAACAGACAGAGTGAAACGTCGAATATTTATTAACCAACTGACAATTAACCCATTACACATCATTTCGGTTATCTAGTTCTCAGCTGGTTAATATAAATGGTCTGAAAGTAAATGTCAAATGACCCTATCGCTTTAGTAATCTGTTAACTAGCAAGCATTAAAGCCGTGGCAGAGATTGTTGCATCCAATGGAAACTAAGCTAATTCGAGTAAGCAAGGTCATAGAAAGTCAACTCAATGTTCTCCAACAACGACAGCATTAGATGAATGACCGATAGTATTCGGTCCTTGTAACAGTTGATCGTTGGAAGATGCACTACTAAACCTAGCCGCGAAGTCCAGTGTGACTGGAAGGTTTTCAGGGCTTTTTGGATCTATAGTTGGACGATGGGTTGTCAAAAATTGTATCCCCTACCGATGAAGATATGTTCTTGCGGATTCCATGACATATCACTTCATCGATTTCTTGATAAAGACTTTTTCTGTATCTATTCAGTATGCGTGTCAATGAAATTAGAATCTATTATTTTTTATTATTATTAGTAGTAGTAGTAAAAGTAGATTGTGATATTCAGAAAGACCTCCCCTAAGTCATAAATCGATCGTTACCTATTTCGTAATTCTTCAACAGGTTCGGGTATCCACAATTTCAAAGTGGGAGGGTGGTGATTGCTATTCAGCAGATCTGATGGTGGGAACATATGAAAACCCCCCTTATCTGTGGGACATCACTCTATTGCTAAGACTCCTGAGTTTGAATGACTTCTGCAAAATAAAAGAATAACTAAACAAGATATAGAAGTTGAAAAATTGCCTGAAAGCCTGAGTTTAAATACAAACTTATTGCGTGCAAGTTCGCTACTTTAGAACGACACCTAATTGTATACTTCAGAAAAGCAGTAGAAATTATTAAGACCTCGCTTTTCTTCTACGTAGTTCACGCACTTTGACTTTTGTGTTAAACTCCTTTTTCACCCTTTATAAGTAGGTAAAATTATCGCCTTTTTTCAATCAAACTAATTGTTCGCAAGAAAGACTGTAGAATTCCATCGGAGAAATAATATTTTTTTAAAAATACAAAAAGTATCATTAATCTTAAGGTTGTTATATATTTTGAGTTATTAACACCCATTATATACTCCTGCACCTCTCTTGCGGTTTTCTTGTGTCTTCTCTTTTCAGAGGTACTGCATTCAACGAAGGCACCCATAGAGTGCTGCCATCCTCTACTTATTCAGAATATTGTTAGCTCACTTGGTGAATAACGGAACCACCTTTATCATGAAATCAGCTGAGAAGTTCAAAGTTGGTCTCATATACAACTAGAAGAGTCACAATTATGGTGTAGTTACCGGTGACTTTGAAATTTTATAGACTTTCGAACGCTTTATAAATCATTCACTAATAATTATTGTTCATTCTGCACCCCTTATGTTTCACGTCAGCACCTATACTAAAATGCTACTTACCTCTCACTATGAACGTAATCATTTATAATCCAGCGTGAAACTGACATGAAGGATTTTTTCACTTACAGTTTAGATTTGAGGCTATGTTTTATGACGTAATCGGTCGAAAGCAGATTTCAAAAATCATCTATTTACTTATTTGTACACTTCTTTTTCAGTGTTTCACATAAATGATTGTTCAATCTTTTCCTGAATTAACAAATCATATTGTACCAACAGAAGACAAGGGTCAGGCAACGGATCGTTTATTAAGGAAATCAAAGCATATTTATATATTTTCATGTACATTATTATAGTTTAGTTAAGCAAACAAACACAGTCTTCTGATTGGTTGTTTCTCACTTAAAGTTAATCTTCTATCTCTTTATGACTGTTTCTTGAATGTCAGATCATCTATATGTTAACTGTATCCGCCTACGCAAAAGTCTGCTGTGGTCGGTTTTGAATCAATCTTTGTTCATATTTTCTCACGACAAATCTTGAGAATGTAAACACTGACGTAAATTACTGTCTACCAATTTGGCTAGTAGACAGCTCGCACCACAATATTATATATTCTGCAAGTTCTAATTGGTGTACATCTGTTCATACCTGCAAAAATAGCTGGTTTCTGTCCCAGATATAAACAATTATTATGGTAATCTCGCTCCGAAGTGATTATCAACTAACCTGGAGCAATGAGTAACTAATTTTGGCACTCTTTGTCTCTGAATAAATGTAGCAAGGACATTCGATAATACACTACTGACTGTGATACACGCCATCTTTATTCGTAGTGCTAGTGCTGCCTCATCGTATTGTGCGTGTAGATTCGTCTGATTTGACTGTGTCTGGATTGCGAGACATACGTTTTAGTGAGCAGTATTGCTTATAGTCATATCCAGGTTGCACTGGCCTGTATGAGTGGGGCTTACTATTATTCATCATGGCTAGTCACCACTAAAAATAATTATCAAAACGATTTTCGATTTCGGAGTCCAGGATGCAGTTTGCTTAAATAATGTAGGACTACTGAAGCCCTTGTCAGTAGTGCTTTTTAATCTGGTTAATCTGATGTCTATGGTTAGTGTGTAGTGCACTTAATGAGCAATAAAATGTGGAAGGGGCTAAAACAAATATACCAGGCTGAGTTAATGAGGCACTAACTACATTGCCTTCTGCCCACCTTCAAAAAATAAGGTTTCTTCCTTGATGAAAATGCATCCGACTAGTCTTTCACGCCATTCTGTACTTTCCGCCATCCTGGTTATTATTACTACTCATCACCTTTACATAGTCTCAAGGGGACTTTATAGGCAACTAATAGCCTGCACGTTAGTATTTGGTAAGCCAATAGAATACACTCATCTTCCACAGGGAATAGAAACAATTTGTCTAACCACAGCAGTGGGTTAGAAGGAAGTTATGAGATATACGTAAAATCCGGGACTAGAAAACTACCACTTCCTTTTGCTCACACAACTGACGAAGAATGCTGAAAGTTTGTTGCATGTCATAAACTTTGATAAAAACACTGCAAAACTAGGAGAAATGCAAAAATTGCTTTGTTCATGCATTTGAGTTTCTATCGATGACAACAGAATGCCTTTTGAATAGGCTTACTGAAGTTTGTTTTACTTTCCTATTTATTCTGGTTTCATTCACTCTATCACTCGCGTATACTGTTGAATAGTGAGGTTTCATTCATTATCAAGGAAAAGATGGGTGTCCCGAATGCCGTAAGTTTTCATTGTGGTTCTCGAATGAAACAAATCCCTACTTATCTTACATTTTGTCGTTTATTTTAAAAATCAATGTGTCTTTTGGTTCCTACAGCGTGGCGATAGCTACCGTATGGCGACTCAGAAAAAATCTAAGAAAACTCTCAAGAAGGATGATTTGAATGAACTTAAGCAAGAAATAGACATGGATGAACACAGGGTATCTCTTGAAGAGTTGTATTCTCGGCTATCTACTGACCCACAGAATGGCCTAACAGCCGAGCAAGCGAAGTAAGTCCATTGCAATACTTATTTGATTTTGTGATAGAACTCGATTAGAACGTGATGGTCCAAATGCCCTAACACCTCCAAAAACCACACCAGAGTGGGTGAAATTTTGTAAGACTTTGTTTGGTGGTTTCTCGTTGTTGTTGTGGATCGGTGCTGTCTTGTGCTTTATTGCCTTCTCAATTGAAAGTGGAACTCACGAAGACCCTCCCAAGGATAATGTAAGTTACCGGTAGTTAAACCACCAGCACCCTGTAATTATATAATCCTGGTAAACTGTTTTTGATGATTGTGATTGTTTTTCTCTTGCGTGACCACTTTGAAAAAGTATGACCTAAGTTCGTCACTAGAATTTCTGCTTTTGTAAATCACACTTATGTGTTGATTTGCCCCAAGTTCATCCTAGTACTTGTTTGATACATGCAAAATGCCTTACTTAATTGGGGCTTTCGTTGAAAAGAGGTAAGAATGTAAAGCCCCACAGCATTGTCGTAAAACCCAGTTCAAACGACTAATAGTGTTTACCAATCATTGGAAATTTCCTGACATACAAACTTCTGCATTTTACTAGGATTTGACACTAAAAGTTGAAACACTCTGAAAGATTTTACGTTTATATGGCGTGTTTTTCACTATCTAGTTTAAAGATTAGTCCGTGCATTCATTTAGTTTAGTCAGCTAGCTCCATTAACCTAAATTCAAGGTTGCGACTCCGGCATATTGTTCATTATTTAATCAGGTGACTGATGGTTAAATATCACTGTTGGAGTCTCCCTAAGTTTCAGTTGCCATAGTGGTATTTGTTTTTTATCACCTTATACAATATTAGTAGAGCTTTCAGTTCTGCTAAGTCTAAATGTGAAAATAGACGTCTGCTTATATTTCTTTTGTGCAGTAATGATTTATGACTTGTTTGTGTATTATTCACTGTAACCGAGCTGCCACGTTTCATCAACACTTGTTATGCAGTGGTTCCAATCGCAATTTCAGTTGTAAACGAGGCTTTATTATTTTGTCTATTGGAGGGAGAGTGGAGTCTCTCATGCTTCTTTTTTGTCCGGTAATAAATTAGGTCAGTTACTCAAAAAAGCACTGTCGTTAAGTTTCTTGCGATAAAATTTCCTGGATAAATTAAGGGCCTACCATGATTTTCACTGTTGGTTGCTACTAAGTAAGCCTGAAGTAAATGTGTTGTAATGTCGAAACGTCATCCAGTAAATAATACTTTCACTGCGTGACATATCCAATAAACAAATTAATATGGAATTGTGGAGGAGAGATTTATCTCATGTATATGTCTTCAGTGTTGTCTACTTTGAGCTTGGTGGTTCGGTTGCATAGCTTTTGTCGTCTACAAGGTTTGTAATGAATTCTGTCTTGATGTGTAAGGCTGATTAGGTATGTGTAAGCAGTTATATTTCTCTTGAATTCATTTGTGTTACTTCGAAAAATAACTCACGTCTTAAGGCGTTATATTTTAAAATTTGAAAACCACGAGTTGACCCCACTTGCATATAATACAACGTTTAAATTAATGTAGAAATGGACTTGTATAGACTTTCACTCAAAGAGATTCTGATTAGGGGATAGATTTTGGCATGTACAAGATGGCAAACATAACTGGACAACAAACAAACAGACATACCCTGTGTCGTTGAAACAGGCGTAATTGTTATAAATCTAAGGTTGGCAAAGTCACAAAATCTGTTCAACAACTTATAACAGACTACAACATTTGACATCATATCGTGCTTACTTGTTCTGGTCTACTTACCGTCGGTTCATGATGACGTTTAAACGGTATTCTGAGATTGATGACAGCAGTCTCATACATCTTACAGTTACCTCACTCGTGTGTTCACCGCTCACTTTTCCACTCTTTGTAAGTTTCTCACTAATATGGTCGTATATAGGCTAGTACAAATATACTAATATCCAGAAGCATATGTAAACTAAACGCATATTATATATATATATATATATATATATGATTGTGAGCAATAAATTGTGGTCGAAACGTCATCATTAAATATTACTGTATAGCACTGTGAGACTTTATCAAAATAAACTTTACCCATAATGGAATTATACTCTACCACAGTGCACAAATTTTATTCTTATATCAATCTACAATTTAACGAATTTTGGGGCTTAGCGTGTAACTTAAACCATTTAATAACTTCAGCGAAGAAAATTTTCTTTATCGACGAAATCATCTTCGGAGGCTGTACAGTCGTATTTATACTTACAAAAAATATATAGTGGTCTATTATGTGTGTTTATAAATTCACCTGCTCGTGTGGAGCTAGTGATATTGGCCGCACAAAGCGCACGCTTTTCAAACACATCTGAAGATTACCTGGAATAGTTAGCAAAGGGACAATGCAGGAAAATTGTTAGCTCAATTCTCGAGCATTTGGTGAACTCAGGCCACGTAGCTCAACCAGAGTCGTCTTCCAAGATCATCTAAAAGGTGAAGCCAAATGGTACAAAGGGCGTCAGGTTTCGGCTTTTGTGTATGGCAGAGGCGCTGGAAATTCGTCAATACAACCCCAAACTCTGTATACAGAAAAAGTTTGTCCAGTCTCTTATTCTACCTTGGTCTTAACCTCTTCACTAGTCGTTCCCTGTACAAAATTTTGATTTTTTCTTTTCTTTTTTAATTTTTAATTTTACTTTTGGTTTCCTTTTGCTTCAATAATTAATTCACTATTATCACTCTCATATGCTCCTTTTGTATATTTTTACACCCTCTTCACACTTGTCGAATTGACACTCAAATACCTTTATTCTGACTCAATAGCAATTTTAACCTTATCAAATTTCCATCTTTGTTCCGTTGAGTACCACGTAATTTACAACTTTTAATTTTCACTTCTAAAGCCACTTCTGAGTAATTATATCAATTATGTCACCTCCTATTACTCAATAATAGACCACTATATATTTTTTGTAAGTATAAACATGACTGTACAGCCTCTGAAGATGATCTCGTCGATAAAGAAAATTTTCTTCGCTGAATCTGCCTTTCATTTTCTTTATGACTCAATGGGTATTTTCGGTCATTTAATAACTGTTATGTCTTGTTCAAATGAATCTGTTTATGTTTCTTATTTTTGCAGCTGTATCTTGGTATTGTTTTATCCATTGTCGTTGTGGTTACTGGCTGCTTTTCATACTATCAAGAATCCAAATCATCACGCATCATGGAGTCTTTTAAGAAGATGATTCCACAAGTAAGTGAAAATTTTGTCTGAATTTAATCATTGACAGTACTTCAGTGCAGATATATCACCTGATGATTGGTCTAACTAGTTTTACTAAGTACCTTGATCAGTTTTCTTGGATTCAGCAAAATACTCTTTATAAGATTCTAGTGTGTTGTCCCTTGAACTTTGAAGACAGATAAGTAAGCTGACGTTCAAGGATTCGAACTTGAAGCTTTCAACTCTGATGAAATATTACTAACGTACTGGTTTGCGGTTTGTGTAATGCTTACGAAAATACTTTAGTAAATTGTGACTTGTTGAAAAGAGGAATTAATGTAAAGGGTCACAGCCTTGTCGTAAAATCCAAAGTTCAACTGGCTGATATTGTTTATGAATCTTTGGAAGGTTCGTGACAAATCACATGTGCAAACATTTGCCTCTTGGTAAAATTTGTGACTGGTTTAACTAAATTTTAGTCCAATACTTGACGTTTTACATTGTGATAGAGAAGTTTGTGCCTGCACTTATTAGTGTTATTCACATCTACAAATATCTTTACTATCTAAGTAAAATGGAAGGATATAGTTTAGTGGATTGGGATTCTATTATTTTTTTAGGATGTTGTCAGTACTTCGGCTTCTACTGGGTGTTATTAGTCACTCAAAAGTATACCACAGACCCAGCTTCTTTGTTTTTAGCCCTCATTATCACAGCATGACCACAGATACAAGGAAACTCACATTATCCCATAGATTCCAGTCTTTATCATTCATTGCAAAATTTAGGTCGTAAATTTTTTAATAGACTGATTGCTAATAGGGTCTCTGCGTTTATACATAAGACTCGTGTTGCATTTTCCAACTTTCTTCATCTTTTACGAAGGTGTATATGGTACTTCTCCTCGTCCTTCTTTAAGGCTGTGATAGATGTTATTCGAAAGTGGAAGGTTTAAGTGTCTGCTTTCAGTTTTTCGTGTTAGCTGGTGTAATATCGTCAGCAACAATAGAGTAAGAAAAAAAGGATAATTAGTAAGGTTGTGAATTGCATCGACTGAGATGTTTAGGATATGTGTTATATATGCTTGAACCACTGCCTTCCTCGATGAGTAATGTTAACTGATACGGGATTAGGTTGAAAATGAGTTAAGTGTAATCAGACGAAAACATACATAGCAACAACCCATGGAATCTCTGACTGTTGGTTTGAGTAGAGGAGAGGAGTGCAGATTTCCCGGTGGGCATCTTCAGGATGCTAGAAACCAATGAATGCAGACTGGGTGATATGGTTTAAAATCTTTCACAAGAGACAGCTATATTCAATTCTCATCTTCCAGAAAATTCCCACTAATCTGCATGTAGTTTTGTTTATTATAGTATCACTGCATTCCGTTTCTCTAACTTTATGTGTGCTTTATTGCAGTGTGTAACGTGAACTGTCACACTTTTGTGCAAAGGTTTACGTTGATAATTCAGGTTAGGCCATATTTGATTTACTGTATTGGCGAACTGTGTTTACTTACTGGTAGCTGGGATGTGTTCAATGATGTCGAAGTCCAGTTTCTTATTAGTGATTGAAACCTACCAATCTCGAAAGGGACATTCGGCGGATCAAATCTTGCCAGGCATTTTGGTGATAATGTTGTCTTCGTATAGCTAAGACAAAATCTGTTGGATTACCAAAAAGACAATAGTGAAGTTATTTTTGTCTTTCCTGTATACAACAGGTTTTACCTTTTTCCTAATCACTTCAAACTGGTCAAATAAGCAACTAAGAATTTAGTTATCATTAATATTTGCATTTTAATTTCTTAAAAACAAGCGAAAGCTTTCAACCTGCCTTTTTTTAGACTGCCCTCGTTATTCGAGGTGGGGTGAAGATTGAAGCACCTGCTGAAGCATTAGTTGTTGGTGATTTAATTGATGTAAAGTGTGGCGATCGTGTTCCTGCAGACATACGAATTATTTCTGCAAGTTCATTCAAAGTGAGTGTGTTTGTAGTTTATTTTTTGTTTCATTTCTTCAAAAAGGTGTACGATTGTAAAGTTTCCACTTTATATACACAGTAATTCGTTTTTTACTTAAGGAGAAACTCCTGTTATTGGTTCGTTTTACAAAATTAAATGTCGAGTTAATAATGCATATGTGGAATCCGGCAAAAACCCTCTCTGATAACATTTAGTAACTTTGTCGCTATCAGTCTACAGGTATTGTCAGTATAACTTTTAGAATGCTTTGCCTATCTGAATCTCGTCAGTATCTAACTACTGGAAAAGATAGAAATCTATATCATACAATATTGATGTTTTCCCCACTAAATTTCCACCAAATAAGGAGACATTAAAAATCTCAGTTTTACCTAAATCTTTGAGTATAGAAATTACTGGATAGTAAATAGAAAAGATTTGTGGAAACTTGCAGTCACTTGCCATATTAAAACGACTTTCATCAATTATGAGAAAAGAAAGTGCCTATCTGAACCAGTCAAAACTTCAAAAGTGAGTGAGTGTGAGTACATTTATGCTAGTGTATGGCTAATTTTGAATCTTGTCATCACACATTTTATACTGATGATTCATGACATCTCAAAGACTATGTTCAGGCACCCTGTATCATTCAAACCAACAGTTAAACCTTGTGAATTGTTGTGGTGTTTTGGTTCGACGAAACTTAGCCTTATTTCAACATAGTTCTATTTCATGTAGTATTTCTCTGTCGAGTAAACAATGTTCAAATGTCGCAGTGGCATCAGCCACTTCTAGTTTCTAAACTAATCGAATAACTTTCCTTTCCTTGCTTACTACTGTATGTTGTATCTGAAAACACTACATATTGTTCAAAAGGTGTAGTTCCCCTCATTGCGTTTATCGTTGACTGCCATGCTTTAGCTGTTAAGCTGCAGCACTGTTGCGGAATATTTTGTCAGTCCCATCACAGATGACCCAAGCTGCCAAGTGCTCATAGGCAAGATCTTTACATCGGAAGCAAGAGTTTTCAGTAGCTAATGTCCATTGTATCCGATAGACCTACCATGTCGAAGGTCACTAAATCCAGTTCTCCTGCAACCTAAGCTATCATCTCATTTCAATAGTATATAATTAACCGAATTCTGAAAAATTCTTTACGTGGTTGATGGTGTTTAGAGTGCATCATATTTTTACCCTGTTGGATAGAACAACTGAGTTTCACTACGTCAATCGGAAGGCTTTTCTTCGACAAGTTGTACTTACTATTCGTGATCTGCGTATCAGTCACAACTAACATATAAAATCACCCAATTGAATAAACGGTGATATCAGTTCTTTTTTGACAAAGACTCATGCACGCAGAGACAGAAATCGCCAATTTCCTCGTAAACCTTTTTCTATTCCTTTGCATTCCGCTTGGAACACAAAGCTTCAAGGTAGAGACTTACAGTTTCAGTAGCATTGTTGTCTACTTTTGCGGGGGTGGGGTGGTGGCCGCATGCCCACTCTTTCTTCTTTACCGAGCATACTGCCGGCTAAGCTAGGTTTAGGAGTGTGGTAGTCGGGGATCGAACCCAAACATTGTACCATGGATGCACCTCCTCGTAAATTGACAATGATAAGTTAGAAGTTACCAAAAATGCATATCGCGAATTGACTTGCTGTTTTCTAGCGTAAATAATAATTATTCCTTTATGCTTTACACATAAAAATACATCTCCATTTCAACTTGATTTCACTGTGTATAATGCTTTAGGTCAGGCTACTTACTTACTTACTTCAGGTCAGGGCTGTGTTTATAACAAACTTAATATGTGTATGTGTACGTTTATGTATTATACCCATAAACATATTAATTCTCTTATCAAATAATACTGCAATTATTATTACTATTAACGATACTGTTTTTACTACTTTTTTCGCATTAGTTTTCATTAACTCATTGTTGAACCACTTCCGTTTTTGGTTCCATAGCATTACATTGCATAGCATAGTATTCCACTTCATTCCATTGTGTTCCGCCTTTGATGAACAAATTCATGTGTCCCCAAAAACGATGCTGTAAATAACCATCCCATCCATCAATAAAAATGACGATTTTTAGTATTTTATAAACAATATTATTATATTATATATTATCTATCTATGCATTATTATCATTATTATATTTTCAATACTTAATAATAAGTGCTTAATTCTTATTATAAAGAGTACAACTAACGTGTATACAACGCATATGCTGCTTATGTGTACATATTTAGTTTTCGGATAAATGACAAACCTCCAAAAGATGGAATTGTAGAATGCATTTAATTCATCTTACAGTCAGATAGATAAATACCCATACTAAATATAGACGTATATCCAATCATTTTTATCCATTCTAGTTTAAAGATATCTTCACTAATGTTTAGTGTAATATTCAAACGCACGCACACATACACATATCACACCTCGATAACAACTGAAGGCAGTAGTAACAGTTCTCGGAGTTTGTGGTGTGTTTAGTATTACACGTGGACTGGGGTTCGATTCCCGGCCGATGCACTCCTGAACTTTGCTTAACCGACAGTATACCTAGTAAAGAGGATAGGTTGGTCGTGCAGCTAGCAACTCCACCCTGTAAGAAATGCACTGCTAGTGAAAGTTCAGAGCTGAAGCTTGAAGCCTCCTGTGTTCCTCACGGAACGCAAAGGAATGAAAAAAACACTAACAAGAAGTTCGAAAGTGAGTTGAGAAAGTTCTAGCTAGCACTACGCAATTTCCAATGACTTCTATTGCGTTAGCTATTTATAATACGAAGCATAATTTCGTGATGTTTTTACATTTCTCTTTTATTTATCACGAAGTCGCTTCTAGGAGAAGAAATGACAAAAAATACTTTGTTAGGTGGTTTGAAGCAATCTGCAGGAAGCCCTGTCAGATCTAGGTTTTGTGATTGTTAGCACTCCTCAGTAGTGCTGAATGAATTTATGTCCCTTGTAAAATTCGAACCTGGGTCACACAGTGCTGCAGTCGGAAACGTTACCACCGGTCTATTCAGTCTGCACTGATTGAAGGACTAAAAGCATGACACTAGTCATTACCTAGCGTGTTCAGTCAAAGAAGATACTTCTCTACAAACTTTGTCGATGATAACACTAAACTGAATCAACTATTACTATTATTTACAGCAGTACAACTTTGATATGAAACACCCTTGTTTTAATTATATGAAATTAGTCTGTAAGAAATTACAAAACCTATATCTCACATTTATCTCCATGCATTGGCAAACATCGTGTATATTACTGCTACATGGGGAATGTGAGCGTACCTGTCATGCATGAAGACTGATCGACTAACTGATTTACCAACGCAGAAAACTTCACGCGAAGATTGATCTACATTTTATCAGCGTCTTTACTTCAAAATTTTTTTTGCCTGGTAGCAGTCAGGTGAATCCCTGAGACACAGAAGTCAGTAATGTTATTCAGCTTCGAGTCTGTTGACGGTCTCAAGATGTGTGTAAATCTAGATTAGCCGTATTCGTATAATACTTATTTGACTTAACGGAGAAAAATGTCATCATCTGAATTAGCCTTGACAACAATGCTGTCAAAAAAGACTCGGATCACTGGCTTAAGTGCATGGTTTTCGACCAATGAGTCCTGCTGCACTTCACCCTTTGGTAACTGGATAATTATCACCAGCCCTAACACATAGATTAAATGTGGCTCAAGAACTGATCTAGGTAACTGAGTTCGGTCAAATAAATACTATAAGTAATTCATTTCAATAATACACTACTACTCAGGGCTGGCTGTTCAGAAAAGCGTTCATCATCACCTTAGAGGAAAAATGGAACAATTGTTCAATGTCTTATCAAAATTAAATGGAAATATAAATATATTTTTTACATAATCACATAACTGAGTTTTCAGGGATATTGCTGCTCATCTGAATTTGTTTAATATTAATAGCGGATTTTTTCAATCCTTTGCGTTCTGCGTGGAACATAGGGCTTCAAACTTCAGCTTTGATGTTTCAGTGGCAGTGGTTTTTTACAGGGTGCGATTACTAGTCTTACACTCAACCTTCCTTCTCTACCGGGCTTAATACCGACTAAACGAGGTTTTGGAATGCGTCGGTCAGGGACCGAAAGTTGGACCACAAGTGGCGTGGTTGGCGAACATTCTACCCCTGAACCACCGATGCAAAAGGCCAGTATTGGACTGGTTTCCATCAGTCGAATATTCTGACGGTTTATTGTTTTTCGATAACTAATAACGTTACGCGAAACAATAAATACCTATATCCTTCAATCAATTCAATGTATGCATTGCAACGAAGTTTACAGACTAAAATGTACACGAAATTATTTTCAAAGCTGTGACTCAGCGGTCAAGATAGGTCATAAGTTCAATTAACTCCGCTTTATTTAAGTTAGTTTTCATGGTCAAATATGAAATATACACCAAATGAGTGGAACTTATTGCTTGATAATTTCTCTCACTGTTTAAATATCAGCTTGGTAAGTTATTCATGTTTATTTATTTGTTTATTACTTGCTCAAATAAGGTGGATAATTCAGCACTAACTGGTGAATCTGAGCCTCAGTCACGTACAGCAGAATATACAAATGAAAATCCTTTAGAAACTAAAAATTTGGCCTTTTTCTCAACTAATGCTGTTGATGGTGAGTGATATTCTTAGAAGTACTCTTGTTATCTACTTCATCTATTAAGTGTTTTTCACCCACAACTTTAAAAACAGATCAAAATAGGTGTGAATGTGTTAATGTGGCCACGGGAGATTGATCAACCAGTTCATATGCTGGTCATTTCATTTAAAATATACATACTAAGTATTGGTTTGTAGCAATTTGATTGTTCCCAAGTTATATCATGAAATGACTTCATTTTGGAAGACGATTGAAAACCGTGGAGTACAAGAAAGTTGTTTCATTTTAGTGTGTGACGTTTTTGCAGTAGGCCCCCACAACCCCATCGGGGATCCCGTTGACTATTCTGCTAATGAGACAGAATCCATTGTCGGGCATATTATTTATTATTTTTTCTTTCCTTTAATTTCCTAGAGGAACATAGGGCTTCAGCCGCGCGTCTCCGTTGCGTTCGGTTCTCTGCTAGAGTCTTCACCTGGCTCCAAGTCTGCCCACATGCTTTCATCTCCTCTTCACACGACCTCCTCCTTCATGTCACCCACGCACTGATGACCGACTCGCCGCTTCCCTTTCGGGTTCCACTCGAGCAATGGCTTGTCTAGTGATGTCACTTGATGGTTTCCTCAGAGTATGGCTAATCCATCTCCATTTCTTCCTGCTTATTTGTTGCACAATCGGTTCCTGGTCGGTTCTCTCCCAGAGATCTCTGTTGCTGATCTTTTCTGGCCATCTGATCTTGAGTATTGAGAGAAGACAGCTGTTAATGAAGGTCTGTGGTTTATTTGATATGTTCTTTATGACGCACCAAGTCTCTGATCCATAAAGTAGCACTGACTTCACATTAGAGTTGAAAATCCGGATCTTATTTTTGATGCTGAGTGCTGCTGACCTCCACACAGACTTGAGAGCAGTGAAAGCTTATCTTGCTTTTCCGATTCTTGCTTTGATATCCTCGTCAGTTCCGCCTGTAGTTAAAACGATGCTTCCTAGGTAGGTAAAGGAGGTTGTTTCTTTCAGGTTCCTTCCATTTGTGCTGATTGTTGTCTGTTGTTGTTGTTACTATTGGTGTTGTTTCCCAGGAATCTTCATCACCTCTGTTTTCTCTATGTTCACCTGAAGTCCTATCTTTGATACTTCTTCTGCCAACTTGTTGCTTTTCGCTTGCATATCTTCCAGTTTGTGGGAAATCAGACATATATCATCGGCGAAGTCCAGATCCTCCAAGTTTTTTGTGTGTGTCCATTTTATGCCTGTTTCCTCATTGCCCACTGTGGCGCAGATGTATCCACTCCTGGTGACTTATGACTTCCAACGAAACTGTTTTGTTCTTCGTTATTACTATTCCTTTGTCTCACACCTCTGTTTACTGTCTATACTATGCATTTCTCCTACTTTCTTCTCTTGCTTTGTGTGCTACATGGAGTGTGGCGACTTGAACTGCCGCACATATGTGCAAAGTTCTATGTCGAAAACCGACCGACCGACCGCATTATCCAATCTACTGCAATCAGGAAAATCATTGGCGATAGTAGACAGCCTTGTCTTACTCCTGTCCTCACTTCAAAGGATTCCGTAAGTTTCCCGTTGTGGATTACTTGGCATGCAGCATTGTCGTACATCTGTTGGATGAGATGTATAATTGTGGGTGGCACCCCGTAGTAGCGAAGTAGTTGCCAAAGCACCTCTCGATCAACCCTGTCAAAGGTCTTTTCAAAGTTGATGAAGTTGAGATAGAGAGGTGACTGCCATTACAAGCTTTGTTCAATGACGATCCGTAATGTGGCTATCTGATCAATACATGACTTGTTTCTCCTGAATCCAGCCTGTTCCGGTCGAAGTTTTTCATCCAGGGCTTGTTTGATTCTCTCCAGGATGACGCGGCTTAGTATTTGCTTGGGATGGACAGGAGCATAATACCGCGCCAGTTCTTGCATTGACTTAAGTCTCCTTTCTTTGGTAGTTTGAATAAGTATCCTTTCTTCCAATCCTCGGGTACCTTGCTTTCTTTCCACACCTTCTCCAGTATTGGCGTCATCAAGTCCGCTGTTGTCTCTGGATCCACTTTCAATGCTTCTGCTGGCATTCCATCTGGTCCTGCTGCTTTTCCAGCTTTTAGCATCTTGATTGCCTTCAGGACTTCTGATTTCGTCGGGGAGTTGATGTTCACTGGTAATTCTGCTTCCGTTGTTGGTATTGTCCGGCGCGTTGTAGGTGGCGGTTGATTTGGAAGGTTTTTGAAGTGTTCAGCCCAGTGTTTCCTCAGCTCCACTTTTTTGGTGATTGACTTTCCATCGGCATCCTTCACTGGCCTAATTTGTGACGAACTTTTGCCCGTTAGGTACCTAGTTGTTTGGTAGAGTGTTGCGAGGTTTGTTAACAATAATTAAACAGTGTCAAACATATGGCCACTTTTTTGGTAAACTGTTGTGTATGGTAATAAAATTGCTTTATATATATATATATATATATATATATTAGATTAGAGCCAGAGATAAGGATCTAATTGAAAAGTAAATATTTCTTCGCTCAATCTTTCTGTTTTCTAAATATCTAAATGGGGATTTTTTTTCTATTCTAAAGGCTTTTTGACGTTTATTTGCAAAGCATATTTACAACTGTGAAGTATAAAACTTAGGCCACTTGTAAGAGTATTGTATATCCTCAGATTTTTAACAACAGATACAATGAGGCTCTTAAGTTGGTTGAAGTATTTCCCAAGTTGGTGTATTTTAGGGGTGTAGGTAATTTAGAAGTAGGTTGGTTTCGTTTCCATAGATGATGATTAGAATTTGTTGAAGGATATACCTTAAATTCTAAAAAGAACACCAGCTTGGAAAATATATTTCAGTTGAAATATTTAAATTCCAAATTAGTGATATTCTCTTCAATGGCATACATTATATTGTTAATAGTTGGTTATTTTGCTCAATGTTTTTTACTAAAATATAGCGAACACATGGTAAGTTACATACAATTGAAAAGATTCATTGTTTCAGCTACACACTTACTTTATTCTCACAGACGTGGAAAAAATAGAATACTCAAGGGAAGCCTAGTGACAACATCCTTATCCGATTTCATTATAGACAAACTGGAATCTTGGTTTTATTCTAACCTCTTCGGAATTAACTTGCTGTCAAAAGATATCTGGCTGACAATTTGGGTATTCAGGCTATGCAATCCTATTGATCAGTAATGTTAACGAAATCCAGAGTTTTTTGAATTTCTAGATAGATATTTATGTGTTCAAGTTAGATAAAACAGCATGGTAAGTTGTATTTCGATTAGGCGTTCAGTGTTACATGTAAGGAGAGTAAGTCGAGGAGAATGTGGATCTTCATCGATTGAGAGGTAGCTGTTAGGAGTGCCAAACTGCTGTTTTTTTTTCAACGAGTCGATTTAGCTGAATGGCACGTGTGGATATGAAGATGAATAGAGTGAGTAGACTAACCTGATATGTGATATGCACTTTATTATTGTCTGATCTGATATACATACATCTCACCATATATATATATATATATATATATATATATATATTCATTCTTATTTCATCAATTAGGTGCCGCTCGTGGGATAGTTGTTAGCACTGGCGATCGTACAGTTATGGGTCGTATTGCAAACTTAGCTTCTGGTCTACAAATTGGTCAAACGCCAATCAACAAAGAAATCAGTCATTTTATTCATTTAATCACAAGTGTTGCTGTATTTCTTGGCGTATCATTCTTTGTTATCGCCTTCATTTTGGGCTATCATTGGCTTGAAGCTGTTATCTTTTTGATTGGTATTATTGTCGCAAATGTCCCTGAAGGTCTTTTGGCTACTGTGACAGTAAGTAATAATCAATTGTTGGAAATGTATATAATAATTGTTTCTTGTCCTCTCCATAATTTAATGGTGTCAGAAGTTCTCCTCTCAGATGCATGTGTTTCCTGTGTGGCTTTATAATTGTTTTTTATTATAGGGTTATTGTTAACGTCATTCTCGTAGGATATTCCCATAACTTGTTTGTTGTATTATCCTCAGGAAACATGTGATATAAGTAAATGTTAGTGTTCTTCTACACTTAGTCCCTCAATTTATTTAACTGTGTACTGTTAATTTCTAGAAATAAATAGTTTCTTTTACCTTCTAATTTGTAAAAAACAACTTTTATTTGAAGATTGAAAGCAGTATACACCTAGTGTTGAACAGTTAGTGTATATTTTGTTGTTCAGGTCATTGTTGATCCAGTATTATTATTATTCCCTTAGGCTCCGAGTGGAGCATAAGGCTTCAACAGCACATTTCTCTACACTCTTCTTTAGCTGGTTACACGGTCGCCTGTACGCTGGCATTTCCTCTTCACACAATCTCTCCCACATCACCATCCGACTCTTGCCTAACTCATCTTTTCCCATTCGCGTCCCATTGGAGGGTCTACTTGGCGTGTAAGATGCCACTCAGCGGTCTCCTTAGCTTTTATCCGATCAATCTCCATTTTCTTTGGCATAATTGTTGGGCAATAGGTTTTTCTTCTGTTGGTTGCCAGAGTGCCATGTTACTAATCCTTTCCTAACGGCCATCTGATCTTCAGTATGGAGCGAAGGGAACTGTTCATAAAAGTCTGTAGTAGCCTGCTAGAAATGCTTATGGTGACGCGCCAAGTCCCTGAACCATATATAAGAACTTACTGACTGACTTGACTTGAAAATTTGAATTTGGTTCTTTATTCTGAGTACAGTTGATTTGCATACTGATTTCAGATTAATGAACAGGTCTTTCTTGCATTTCCTATCCCGCTTTTGACATCATCATGGTCTGTTTCTGCTAGATAAGTGAAAGAGGTGACTTCCTTTAAATTTCTTACGTTGAAGATGATTGGTGCTTGTTGTTGTTGTGGAGCAGACTAAAATGTATTATTATATAAGCTATGAAGCAATTGGATACGTATAGACAAACTGTAGTTTACCACTAGATGGCATATCTTTATCAATATGATACAAAATAATATCTTGTTAACTAATACCTATTGGATTAGTCTGCTCATTATCTACTCGTGCACACTGACTGCAAATACATTTTCTGTGTTCGTGTTTCCCGTATAAGAGTTACAATCACAATGTTTTTTGTTTTCTATGTCACATTTTAATCATGTGTAATTTTGCTTAACACACGTGCGGAATAAGAAGTATTAACTCAAATCGGTTCGCAGTAGTGACCTTTATTATAAGTAGTCAGTGAATAGAATAGACTATACTTATTTTGATTAACGTGCATGTTGCATCTTTACAAGTGTTTTCGTTTGAATAGTTAGGCTTCTTTTTTTACAATAATAAACATGTACATAGTTGAAGAAAATCGACCTAAAAGTGGTTATCTGTACTGATTAGCTAAATATTCTTAAGTCCTTAAATTTTGCCGGTCATACGAAGTTTCGTTTTCATCAGAATCATCTATACTGTCACATGATCAAGTGTATTTGACCACCTCCTGTACTTCTGTGCTTCAACATTTGCGGGGATTATCAGAAGTAGTCAAACAGTAAAGAACTGTTGGTGTGCTTCAGATATAGGAATGGTCTTAAATAAAACGGAGTATTTCTCGCAAAAGTGGATGGGTGGATAGGTTTTGTTCTTCCTCTCCAAGTGCTCTCATGTGGTCACGCGTTCATAATATATGCCTCCAGGTAACTCCCGTTCACTGCCTACACGCGGCGGAGGTATTCCTCACAAAAGTGGATGGCCGAATTCGAACGTCTGGCGCTTGCAGTCGGACATACATGTCTACCTAGGGGAACTGGAAAACGCTGGTAAGAAACCCATGGTGTATACGGACTCCATAAATTAAGGTATGCATGAAATTTGTCTAAACTAATTTACTTTCTAGGTCTTATCAGCCTTGTTACATATACAGTTATTATCAAAACATAAACTTGGTACATTATGGGAAGAGATACACCACACAAAACTTCATAGTTTGTGGGAAGCCTGCCATAATGCCCAGATGTCCAGACCGAAGCGGGTGGTTGTCTTAAAGGACCACTCCAATCTCGAGCCTTTGACTGGAATTTTGATCCACAGGGCATTGGAGAGGCGTCAGGAGCTACGTTCTCACAGCATGGTTCCAAGTGATGGTAACCAAAGCAGTTTCATATGCCGTTCGATCATTTCGGATTCTGGAGGCCGTGTACACCATGGGTTTCTTATCAGAGTTTTCCAGCTCCCCTAGGTAGACATGCATGTCCAATTGTAGGCGCCAGACGTTCGAATTCGGCCATCCACTTTTGTGAGGAATACCTCCGCCGCGTGTAGGCAGTGAACAGGACTTACCTGGAGGCATATGGTACGAACGCGTGGCCACATAAGAGCATTTAGAGGAGAAGACCTCAGTTTACCTACTCTCAGCCGTACCAGGTCGTCTTTTGGACGACGGGCTATTGTAACTGCTTCTTTTCAAATATTATATATATGACGTTAAACTGTTTTCCTTGTGCTATTAAAGAAGTGTGTACACAGAATTATGATACAACTCCATATAATAAACAGCAAAATTATTTGATTTTTAGATAAATATCACTGATTCTACATCAAAATGGTAATTGTCATCTTTTGATTTAAATGAAGAATTACCTAACCAGTGGTTTCGTTAATATGAACCTATTTCTGCTGTAGCAGTATTGCGTGCAGTCGTATGCATTTCAGCAGCTAACTGTGTCTCGCTGGATAATCTTTCCTCTTCTTAGGTGTTTTTCCGACTTCTATTGGTGATTTGATTGAATTTTTGAATATATTTACTCCTTTTTTCTCTTTTTTCTGTCATTATTCCATGTGTCACTAGATTAAACTCATCTACCCGGTATAATAATAGTAGTAAATGAACCTGTGGTGGATTGATAGCATAATAAGTTATTCAACTTGCAACAACGGTATAGTGCACGGGTATAGAATCCTCGTTTTTTAACCTGTTCACACCGGTAAAAGAAAAATTACGACGGAAATAATGTTTTTGTTATTACATTTAAAGAAATTTCATTCCTTTGCATTGAAAGAGGAACACATGGTTTTAGCCTTAGGGATAGAGTTCTAGTAAAGTGGTCGTGTTCAATTGTTTTTATGGAGTGGGTTCGTTAGCCCTACCCACGCACCCAACCTTCCATCTTTTTTGGGCTTATACTGTCCACTAGTAGTAAACTAAGTTAAGTTTAAGCATGCGTCAACCGAGAATCAAATGTGAACCGCGTGTGTACCTTGAGAGTGTTTCATCATTGATCTGATTCACTAGGCTGCTGTTTAATTTTAGCCAACCACGTCACCAATGAGAATTAGCAGTCTCAGTCGGTAGTAATACAAGGTAGATTATTAGTAAGACAGACATATGGCTTATTTTCAGTAGTACCATGATGATTGAATTATAAATATAAATTATATAAATAAATAAATTATAAATAAATATAAATATATAAAATAAATATAAATTATATATATATATATATATATGTGGTAGAATGCTCCCCAAAGACGCCACACGTATCCAAGGTTCGATTCACGACCGACGGACTCCTAAACCATGCTTAGCCTGGTAATAAGCCCAGTATTGAGAGTAGGCTGGGTGTGAGCTTAGCAACATCACATCAGAAAAGACAACCATACAGCTATTGAAACTTCAAAGCTGAAGGTTGAAGCCTGATGTTTCACTCGGGATGCAAAGTAGTTAAATAAAATTTAAATAACACATGTCATTAGAGGCGAATTTAACTTCAGTCATACTGCAATTTCTTATTAGTAATCGAGTTTTATCGACTAAACAGCACTTTTTACTCCTGACTTTATCTGTGTGATCGACTCGAGCTAGTTCAAATAAGTAGAATAATGAAAAGAAAGCTTTTCAGATTTTATGCACAAATAAATAATGTGACTAATGGCTTTTCTTTTAAAAAAACCTAAATATCTAGCTAAGATTTGTTATTTATTATAATAATTAATACTAGGTTTAAAGACTCAATTATTTCTCTTTTTCACATGTTTAAACTTAGTTAGGATTTAAAACTAATAACCACTTTTATTATGTATGTGAGTGTGGGTTTTTGGCGCTGATCACTAAAAGCACTTATATTCGCACATTTTGTGTTTTTCATCCTTTGTAAAGAGTTGTGTAATTGAGAGTTGTCGTGTTCTTCGCTTTTTTTTAACGTATTTATATAACAATTCCATTCTTTTTTCATGATTAATGAAAATGATAACATAGTGCTTTATAATTATAATGGTGAGAAGTGGTGAGATTACATTGATGTTTAATGCTTTATTTTACTTATTTTTCTAACCCTTACCATCACAGTCACAGGTGATCACTGTTGAAGTAAACTCTTCCTTTATCGATTTGGCTATTGTGGTATAACATGGTGTGTATGCATGTATATATACAGGCTTATCACTTACATCCACAAAGTACAGTCCTGTATTCTCACAAATTTCTCAGAAGACAAGAAGTTTTCATGATGCTTCTTTCTATTGGTCCCCGTAGTCCAATATACACGAAGTAAAGACAAAAAAGGAACAACTGAATACTTTACATCTAATGTTGATATAATTCACTAATATTGGTCAATAATTTATTGTGACTACATCAAACGACAGATATCTCTTATAGGTCTGGGCAATAAGTGACTAACGGAGAAACTAGTTTTAACATGAAAAATAAGTAATAATTTAATGAGAAATGTAAAAATAAAAATGCTCGAGATGTGAAAATCGATGAGAAGGATTTTTTCTCGTTAAAACCTGGAAAAATTCCCTTTCTCAATCGCGGGTAGTCTCATACCCGACAACCCTCTCAATGATTTCAGGTTTTCGGTATCATACTTCAGTCCGCAGAATTAAAGGATTGTGTATTCAGAAAAAAATAGCATCCCAAACTTTATGGGAGATCTTATAATTTACGGAATCTCAAAATTGTTTCCATTTGATATACGCTAGTGTAGTGGGCATATTTTTGTTTACTTCATATGCCTAAAAGATTCTTCTTTGTGTGTGTGCAAGTGTTTCGAACTAATAAAATAATTTCAGCAGATATGTTTATGTCATATAAGCGTAAATTACCTGTATCTTTTTATTAATATTAGTTATCAGTTTAATATTGTTGACTCTGCAACTCTATATGGCATTTATTATCCACTGAGTTCTAAACAGCATTTAGATAAAATATGTCATTCGCCTAGGCGGATATATATATATATATATATGTATATATATATATATATATGTATATATATATATATGTATATATATATATGTATATATATATGTATATATATATATCAAGTTTGGCCATGGCTTGATATCAGCTGGACAACAATCGAAAACCAAGGAGTTCTTGGTACATGTTTCGTCCAGGTTTGAGGCTCTTCAGCGTATGAACCCATCAGGTATTGAACCTAGGGCCCGTAGCTTACAAGGCCAACATCGTTGACCATTAAGCTCTTTTGACCAGAATTTAGTAACCGGTTAATTCTAACTTCTGTCCATCATGTCAATGAAATTGGCCTCCTAACCTGGAGGTTCCAGGTTTGATCCTTAGTTAGGTCTTGGGTGCACATTGATGAGAAGTCCAAAATGCGACGAAACAGCTTTGCAGTACTTATATATATCTGTTATCATGTTTGTCTGTCCATAACCTTTTCCACCTTTTCCCTTCATCTACCATACAGCTCAGTTGTTGGATATGTTTTTGTTGTGAAAACAAATTAGCTATGGATTGTGCGCTTATGTGTGTAAACCATAAGGCGCAACAGGGATGCACACTATATCCTGTCAATGAATGACATCGGTTTACATAAATCTTTAGAATCACTGAATAGAACGGGATATGCTGAAGTTTGTCCTGTTGTACTATCAGTAAAATTAGCTGTTGTAGTACTGTGTGATATGATTTTAGATTACATGGTGCGAGTATACTTTCCTTTTTATTTTTGTTTCTTTTAGGTGTGTTTAACACTGACTGCTAAACGTATGGCTAGTAAAAATTGTTTGGTAAAGAATTTAGAAGCAGTTGAAACTCTTGGTTCAACAAGTACTATCTGTTCTGATAAAACTGGTACACTGACACAGAATCGTATGACTATAGCTCATATGTGGTTTGATAATAAAATTTTTGATGCTGACACAACAGATGACCAATCAGGTAAGTCTTGGGATACATCCTCCTCATAATGTCATCCCAATATGTGTATATATATATGATTTGTTTGCTTCTGTCCATCATACCTTTTTTGGAGATGTAGCTTATTTCCCGACTTACACACTCAACTATGGAGTAATTTTTCTTAATTCAACCTGGGCATACTAACAGTTTCTTATTTAACGTCAGTCATTAGATTTTGTCATGAACCAACATCATTTCGAGATTACTGACAAGGGAGTAGCACTGGATAACTGTTCCGTCTTAGTCTGGGCCTCTTCACTAGTACACACCCAAGTTATAAGAACTCAGCTACCTGGAAATGACTTGAAAAGCTGCCCCCCCCCCCCGAGGCTATGCTTATTGTGTTTGTTGGGGGAGGCTGATGATACTACTCAATCACCTAACCTGGATTACGTGAAACCGGATTGGAAACCGAGACCCATAAGCTGAAAGCCAGGCAGATGTGTAGATAAGTGAACCACATTTCACAACTCAGATAAGATTAACGGAGGATTTATTTTTGAGTTTTTTGTTTATATCTGTGTGATATCGTCTACTTTTTAAACTTTCCACTAAAATGGTCCAGTTATTAAAAAAATGCATAACTGAATCAGTTTGCAGTCTGTCATAGTATTATTTGTTTCATTTGTCTAAAAGACAAAACACCTTATTTTATGTTCCCACATAATCATGAACGTTTAGGTAGTACAATTGGTCACACTTGTCAATGGTTCTGAACATTAGTCATTTAGTGAAACGTATTCCTTATATAGCTGTGACTCATTGGTCTAATCGTTCAACTTGCAACCAACTGGGTCACGGGTTTGAACCCCGTTCCATTTACCGAGGTTTTGGCAGCCAAGTGGTATCACTAGTCTTCACACGCAATAAGTGTGGCTAATTGCTAGTTAAATACAGTTGGAACTGGTTGTTGAGTAACATTTTATTCCTTGTAGATTATTAGAAGAAATTCTAATTTTCTTCTGTGTTATTTTGAGATGTTTAAAACCCAATCCACAGAATACTTTTGATAGTACGGCTTTAGTTTTGGTACTTATTTCCACTCACTCATCAATAATTATGTATCCACAGTCTTGTGGAAACTTGTGTTCCTTAGTAAAGTTATAAAATTTACAAGGAAACTGTCTAGATTTTGATTGTATTAAAGTGACTATTCTAAATTTAGACGATGTTAATGATTATCATTTTGTCGGACCCCAAGTAGTAGTTAATATTTATTCATTTTCAAGCCAACAGACGTGTCTGAATACATATAAATATTTGACCAAAGTTTTTTTCGTAATGTACAAGGAAAGTTTGAAAAATTAAAACAACTAGTGTTCGTGTACAGGTGGTTAGAAACAATCCAGTGTTTGTTTGTCTTAAGAAAACATTTATGGCATTATGACTGTAGGATTCACAGTCTAAATAATTTAAAACGAACAAAAAGCTACAACATTTAACTCCTCTGTATTGTTGTATGCAGAACTTTCAATAGCTACAAGTTTGATCACGAACTGATATCAATCAGTTTGAGAGAATCATTAAAAACCAGCAGAGTGTGTACTGGACGGCTGTTTCGTTCTAGTTTGCGACTCAGAACTACGCATCAATGACCTCAGTCGTTATCGAACCCGAGACATTGAGGTTACGACGTCTAACTCTTTCACCATTCAGTCATTTGGACCAGAATTCAATGACCCGTTAATTCCAACTTCTTCAATTTGTTGTAATATAGCTCAAAACCTTCCATTTATTTGTTTTCCGTTTGATTTTTTTGTAAGCCTTCATTCCTTTTGTAATCTTTACCTTCTCAAAAAGTTGACATTTTATATTGAAAATAATTGAGCATTTGCATGTAAAAGAAGAGAGAAAAAATAGTGTGATAACAGATTTATTGCCTGTTTCAGTTGTTTGCATTCAATTCACCTGCCTTTCATTCCTATTACACCTTTTTTTAAATTTGACTCTTTCTCTGCCACATTCGTATCTCCTCATATTGTTTTTAACTGTGAATCGATAGTGATAATCTAAGAGAGTCAATTCATTCACTTTATCTTTTACACCTTCCTTTCTCTCTGTCTTATCTATCCTATTCACACAAACCAAAAAATAGGGCGTCACCCGGTCATATTCTTATTTTTTGTGTGTATATATTTGCAGATTAATTCTTACATTTAATTTTATAGTACATAGATATTTTTTGTTGATGATTATGCCACTTTTGTTCCCTGTTTTTCGATGAACAACTTTAGCGCAGATGTGGGCATTTTACACTTAAATCTTGACTTTTATTCCTTATATTATTTTAGTTTATTTCTTGTCCACTGATCTTCATTATTACTGAGCCAGCGAAGGCAGCTGTCGATAAAATTCTGCTATGGACTGTTGTAAAATGCTTTTGTAGAAGAACAGACTTGATATTAGTGTTGAAAATCCACATCTTGTTCTTTATGCATAGTACACACTGATTTCAAAGCGATGAAGGCCTATCTTGCTTTCTAACCCTACCTTTGACAGCTTCATCCGTACCGCCTGTGTGTGTGTGTGTGGTTGGAAAAATGCTGCCCAAATAAAATTAAAGATGTTACTCCCTTCAAATTCCTCCCGTCGGTGGTGATCAGTGATTGTTGGTTAGTTATCTTCATCACCTCTGTCTTCCCTATGTCCACCTGAAGTCCTCCTATCTCCTCTGCCTGCCTTTTCTGCCAACTTCGTGGTTTTCGTCTATAGACCTTCGAGTTTGTGTGAATTCTCTGCAAAGTCCAAGTCTTCTAGAGTTTTCTTGTCGATATGAGATGTCTGTCTTCTCTTTCACCAAGGCCTTCGGCATGATCCAGTCCAGCAAAATCATGAATTTCATTGGTGAACTATATACATATTTTGACGTATTTTATTCATTGACTTAATCACCACTTTTTTGTATACACATGAGTGTAAGCAATCATGAGGTTTTTAACAACAGTTTGAATAATATAATTCTAAAGATTTTATGAATGCCTATTTGTCTGGTAGAGGCAATGATATCAGTTTCTGTGTTGTTTATCTCACATCGTATATCTTGTGTGTTCTGTAAGATAACGATTCTAAAATGTACCTTTAAGATGCTGATCATATTTACTGTGGGTGTTAACGAGGTTGCATGTGTTGTTGATGATTGAATTAACGCTATGGATTCTCTCTCCATCAAACTTCAAATTGGGATAATATGCTTGTATTATAAACTCCTACAAAGTTATGCAGCGCAACAATTCATGTTTCCTCCTGAAATACCCTATCGGTTGTCATTTCGCATACATAATTTATTCTTAAGTATAATCTGTCCTCATCTGTATAACACGTAGTGATAGGCTTGATATTAAATGGTTGGATGCAGTCGGCAGGAAGCCTTAACTGACCTCTGTTTCGTGTTAGTTGGCACTCACGAGTCAGCAAGGCCTATCTGCAACCTTGAAGGAACTCATGTCCCTTCTGAGATTTGAACCCGAGTCACACGGTGGTGAAGTCAAAGACGTTACCACTGATCTATTCGGGCTTGCGATTGACCTCCTCTAGAACTGTATTGGATACTTTGATTGGACACAAGTTAGTAACTAGTGTAATGTGTCTAGTCTTTTGTTTGGTGCAGACTGGATTCTATCAGTCAATTTGGCAATGTGGGTGTTGTGGCTCCAATCAAAGTATCCAATACAGTTCTAGAGGAGGTCAGTCGCTAGCCCGAATAGATCAGTAGTAACGTCTCTGACTTCACCACCGTGTGACTCAGGTTCAAATCTCAGAAGGGACATGAGTTCCTTCAAGGTTGCAGATAGGCCTTGCTGACTCGTGAGTGCCAACTAACACGAAACCGAGGTCAGTCAAGGCTTCCTGTTGATTGCCTCCAAGCCGTCGGATAGCAACAATTCTCAGTGCACCGTGATGGTGAGCCAACTAGAAGAATAGTGCTCTGCATTGCAAACTTGACTGATAGAGTTCAGTCTACACCAAACAAAAGACTAGATACATTACACTAGTTACTAACTTGTGTCTAATGAAAAGTGATAGGCTTGCTTTCAGATTCGAAATCTGGGCAATGCGAATTCTAATTGTCGGTAAAGCATGAGTTTCCTGTTCTCTTTTTCCTGCAAATAATTACCAACAAGCATAAAATCCAGCATAGATCCAGCGTTTTCTGTTGACTAACATTAAGTCACTTAAATTTACCTGTACAGCATCGGACGTTTATTGACGGCATTTTTATAAATTGTATCTGTCTACATTCTTAATAATTATAATCACAACATTGGCCTTATTCGATACATTGTGGCAGTTTCAGTGTATGTGATACAATATTGCATTTGATTTTCTCTTAGCATTACGTAGTAAAAGGGGAAATAATTTACAGGATATTTGCATTTGATGATAATGTCAATACACAGATATAAATGTAAAGTTAAAATTAAATAGGAATAGTAACAATAACATATTAATGAAAAAAGGGATAAAAACTGCCGTTTACTTAGCATTTCGCAATAAGTTAGTTAATAGTTTTATGCCTAACAGTTTTCTCATCACATTATTGCATGCTAAATAAGGTATCGTAGAGTTCTTATACTTAACCATTGGCGGATTAAGTCTTTTATGATTGCTTGTAATTCTATCTGATGAGCTTCAAGGAAAACTTGTGTATGATAGGATACTCGGAATCTAATCAGGTGCTAATTTTGTTAATTTCTTGAGTAATTTCAAATATCTGTCCACAACTCAGTATTAACTAGTTAGTTTAATGATACTCCACTCACTCCACCGACAGCTTTTGGTGCCCCATCAGAATGTAACACAGAGTCTTTCTGAAGTAGCTCAGGAATGCCAATACTCTCTCACAAATGTCAGTCGAATTTTCTGTTTATCACAATATTTATAACTTAATAAATAAGATCTGTGAATTAAAGAGTCCGTTTTCTTTTTCATGATTGAAGAGCTTTCGTTGGTGCCGCCAAAATTTGTTATATTCTACTATTACTGTGACTATATAGACTATGTATTTGACGCTGTAAACATTGTTTTTACTACTTCTTTTAACTGTATTATATCTCTTACAGTTGCCACCTACGACAAGAATTCACCAACATGGATAGCTTTAGCTCGTATCGGTATGCTTTGCAATCGTGCTGAATTTAAAGCAGGTGAAGAAAATAAGCCAGTTCTAAAACGTGAATGTAACGGTGATGCATCAGAATCAGCCTTACTGAAGTGTGTTGAACTTTCATTCGGTGGTGTCACTGAATATAGACGTAAAAATCCTAAAATTGCAGAAATTCCCTTCAATTCTACGAATAAGTATCAGGTATGCCTTATTATTACAATATTTTCTATCATTGTTTTATGTTATGATGATGTCTGTCTCAATAATTGTGAATAGTTTTCTATGTAGAGTTTACGTCACAAATCAATATCAGTTGGAGAGTTATTAAAATAGTGAGTTACAGGTTTTCAGGAAATGTAACAATCCATCCGGATGACAAGTCCAGGATGGGAGGAAATTCGTGTCCTAGATTCCACGCTGCAAAACATCAATATACAGGTAACTTAAGGTCTGAATTATGTAAATCACCCAAAGGGACCGTTCACAGCTGATGAACGATAGCGAGTTAATATGTGTACTTTGGTTTAATCTTATTGGGAGTGTTCATATTTCAGTTTCTACAAACTTACATCCAAGAGTTCACAACAGCCGTATCACACTATTATTATTATTGCTTGGTGTTTAGTGCTTTCCAAAACCTATTCAGTCTTAGTTTCGATACGATGGGATTCGAAAGATGTCGACAATAGTTTATTATGTGCTTCCCATAGAACTTGCCATAATTTATTTATGTTTGGTGTGTGCAATACATCTCTTTGATTATTTATTAAAGCGCAAACTTGGTACATGATGGGCACCAAGAAATGCGCCGCACAAAACCTCATAGTTTGTGCCAGCGAGAGTTGTGATATTGCCTGATGCCCAGACCGAAACAGGTAGTTGTCTTAAGGGACCGACGCACCAATGAGTCTTTGACATGAAGTCTGGTTCTCAGGGTAGTGGAGAGGCGTCAGGGGCTACGTTCCCATAGCTTGGTTGCTGGTGACAAGGACTGGTTCATACTTCGATGCGTCGATGATTTTCGATTCGATGATTCGATGCGTCGGGATTTTGAAGCCCATGTACACCATAGGTTCGGTTTCAGAGTTTTCCAGTCTGTTTAGGTAGACCTATGTGTGTAGCAGTCTGTAAGCTCTAGACGTTTGAATTTACCCTTTCTCTTTTGTGAGGAACACCTGGGTCGCGTGTAGGTAGTGAATGTGATTTATCTAGAGGTCTAGGGTATGAACGTGTGGTCACATGGGAGCATTTCGAGAAGAAAATCGAAGTCTACTTACCATCAGCCGTATCAGGTTGCTTACAAGGGGCACAATTTATTATCTTTCCAGGACCGGTCATAACCTTCATTCGATTTAGTCATAAACCATTATGAAAAGTGAAAGTTGATGTTCAGTGGTGAGTGAAAGATTTCTAACTTGAATGCTGTGTTCGCTAGTATCCGTAATCGAAATGTGTGTATATGTATTTGTATGCTGCGAGGTTTACCTATATTGTCTTCAGAATTAGAAATTGCATCGTTTGCCCCTATAATAAAAAAATATTGCTACATAAACATCCTAGCCTCTTACAACATTTTGTCAGTTAATGCTTGTGGAGGTGTGATGGATGAAATTTGTAATCGTATAGTAAAAGTTAGGGTGACATACGCCCATTTTAGCCATCTCTGGCACCATCTCGACGTCAGCTTAGCTTTCAAAGGTCGGGTTTACAATAATTCGGTGCTTAGAGTCTTTCTCGACGCTTGTGAAATTTGGTCTATTCCAGCTAAAAACGTATGGTGACTCTGTATTTGATCACCACTGTTTCCGTAGAATTGTTTGTGTCCGATGGCATCATCGTATGAGTAATTCTAAGGTCATAAACAAGCAGAAAATAATTCATGTTGCATATTCCACCGTCTTACACTTTGTTGTGATATGATGTTGCATTTCATCATTAATAACTTACAGAATTATCGCAATTCAATAGTTTTTGTGTTATATTTCACATCCTTTTAGTTATCCATTCATGAGACAAATGATGGAGACGATCGATATCTTTTAGTAATGAAAGGTGCACCTGAACGTATTCTTGATCGATGTGGAACAATTCTTATCAATGGCAAAGAAGAAGTTATGGATGAAACAATGCGTGAGAATTTCAATAGCGCTTATTTAGAACTTGGTGGTATGGGAGAAAGAGTATTAGGATTCTGTGATTATCGTCTACCAGCGGATACATATAAACGGTACGTGAAATATTTCCTTCACGATTTATTCGTTGATATTACAGTTTTATAGATCTACTGACATCAGTAAACCTCTATTCATTCATTATGTTATTATTATTCCGATCGCTTCTACAGCATATCTCCTTTTCATCCTGTTCTCTGTAATAGACTTTAACTGGCTTCACCATTGCCCATAACCTTTCATTTCCTCCATGTCCAACTCTTCTTTTCTAATATGAGTTCCAATCACGAGTGCCTGCGTGGCATATGATATCATTCAATGGTCTCTTCAGAGCATTTTCTATCCGTCTCCGTTTTCTCCGGCATATTTGTTGGGCAATAGACTCTTGGTTCGTTCGTTGCATGTTAAAGTTCATTGTTGCTTGTCTTTTCTAGTCAGTCATCTGATCGCCAGTATCAAGGAAGCGAAGATGTCTGTTAATGTGTATGGGGTGACAGATATAAAAAGATGAGAGGTTCGTTGTCATAGATAACTTCATCCAAATCTAACGATATAGTAATATAATGAAGTGCCTACATGTATTGCGTTCGGTAAGCAGATAAAATGAATTGATATGGCTTTAGGGCTTCACTGATTGATTGTTACAAATGCCAAGCAACCGCCTGTATTGGCAAGCAATGTATGCTGAAATAAGATTAAGTTAGAAGTAAGGAATAGTTAAGGGAAGGTTAAAAGTTTTGTGCACTACAAATGACAAGTTTTGAAAAACATTCTCCTTATCATCTAGTCAGTTTGATTTGGCAACTGAGCACAATTACTAAGTTGAATAAGGAAGCCGTTGAGTGAAATCACGCACCAGGTAGACCCTCGATTGGAACCCGAGCTGTGTGTTTGTCCGAGATTGACATGGAGGAGATGATGTGAGGAGACGAGAGCTTATGGGTAATCGTGGAGATAGATGAGCATTAAATGGGGATGTGCTGTGCTGTTTCCCACCCACCCACAACCCCCAAAGAAATAATAATACCCATCCTCTTTATTTTGAATGTTGCTAGTTTAATGTATTTTTGATAGAAGCATAGTTTGGAAGAAATTTCACCTTTTCAAATTCGTCATACTGCAACAACAGCGAAATGATGAAATAATAAGATGCAGAGAATAAATCAGAAATGCCAGAAAAAATGTTGAGAATCTTCAATGTAATTTTTGGTATGAATACATTTTGTGTTATATTGTGATTCGAATTCTTATTATATAACTTACATTTGATGGATAAGATTTGTTATGAGTGATTGGCAGGTGTATCCTTTTTGTTTAACCTCTCTATCTTTCTGTTAAGTACTACTGTAGAGCATTTTAATATGGTAGTTGTTATTTTTCTTTCTTTCAGTGGTTATGCGTTCAACGTTGATGAACCGAACTTTCCACTAACTAATTTACGTTTTGTTGGCCTAATGTCTATGATTGATCCACCTAGAGCAGCTGTACCAGATGCAGTTGCTAAATGTCGATCAGCTGGTATCAAAGTTATCATGGTAACTGGTGATCATCCAATAACGGCAAAAGCTATTGCTAAAGGTGTTGGAATCATTTCAGAGAATTCAAAAACTGTAGAAGATATTGCAGCTGAAAGAGGTATTCCTGTCCGTCAGGTAATTCATTTCGGTGGAATAAGTCATTGCTTTCGCTTCTTGAATTTGCATCAGAATCCATTTTGCTGTATTTTCGTACCAATGCAAAGAGTCTTTTTTCTTGTTAGGAAGAGTAAAAATCCAATCATCTTCATCTGTTATCTCCATTTTCGGCGTAACCTACTATATACAATGTTCAAGATGTGCTCAATATATACATATTTGTTAGTAGTAACAAGATGACGCTATGTACTGTTGATTGGTTGATTGAATGAGACGAATAGTGGTATGCCACTCATATCAACTAGTAGAGGTTGTTAGCCGAATTGAAGTTATCTAAACATCGGATGGTAGTTTTGCTTGTTCGTGACCGAGCTCATCAGTAGCTGAGAGACTCGAATCACTTCACAAATGGAGTTTTAACCAGTATTTCTGGCCACAGACTGTTTACCTTTGACTAATTTCTCTGTGTCAAATATCCAGATTGCAGAGATCCTGGACCTGTCGCTGGTTTCAGAAGACTAAACTTGATACGCAGAACAGCAGAAAATGGCTGCGCAACCCGATTGTTTATTCTTCAAGCAATAGCGAAACAAATTTACAATAGTTAATCAGTGCCAAAGTCTAAATAAATGCTAATATAGTGTACAACTATACTTCTGATCGTATTTCTTCAATCTTTTGCCAACCAGTCCACGATTGAGCAATAACAACCTTCTTGTCTCCCGTCAATGGAGACCAGTTCGAATAAACAAACTATTCACTATTCAACAGCATTGATACTCCGAATATTGCACAGTTTTTCTGACCTCTCCATTATTACAATGATAATAATAAAAATACTTGAGTGTGATAATAATTAGTTTTGTTTTAGATGCTTTCTTATGTTAGCGTCGGTTCATTGGTAGCGGAATACTCGCCAACTGTGCATGTGTTTGGGGGTTCGATTCCCGATCGACGGACCTTTAAACCTCTTTTCGTCAGTAGAGCAAAACTGGTAAGGAGGGAAAGGGCTGACGCTGGACTAGCAAATCTACCCCGTTAAAGGTTAACACTATCGCTAACTGAAGGCAAAGCAATGAAATATATAGGAATATGAAGTTATTCAACATGCATTGAATGTGTTATATTTAGGCCGATTCCACCTGATTTCCTTTCAAGCGATTAGTTTAACACGACATGTGTATTCTTTTACTCCCCTGCTTTTCATAATACCACTATATATATGCTTAATTTACTACTATTGTTTGTATTGACGATTGTATATATGTATAAATACATATTAGGTTAATCCACGTGATGCACAAGCATGTGTTATTCATGGATCAGATTTACGTGAAATGACACCAGCACAAATCGATGACATTCTATTGAATCACTCAGAGATTGTATTTGCTCGTACTAGTCCCCAACAGAAATTGATTATAGTTGAAGGATGTCAACGACAAGGTGCAATTGTTGCTGTGACAGGCGATGGTGTAAATGATAGTCCAGCACTTAAACAAGCAGATATTGGTATGTTGTCAAAATTGGATGTATGTACAGATATATATGTATTTGTAAGAATTTGACTTTCTCGTTACATGTATATCATACCTACTGGTCATCATGTAATTTATCACAGGGCTATTCTCGTTCTTAAGGTTGACACTGATGTAGACGGTTATTTACAGGGTTTTCTTTTAGCTTTCTTGTAGTGCTTTTTCTCTCACACTCGCACATTTTCTTTCCCTATTTCGCACTGCTTCTCCAGAATTACAAATGTACATGTCAGTGGACAATTTCCCTTACTATCAGTGTTTTAGTATACATTAAATCGATCAAACATGAGGCTAAGGACAAGTGAAAATGAATAATGAGATTTCAGGGGACATTTCATGAATAAAGCAGGAATTTTTTACCACCGATTCGGAAATACAAGTGTGTTAGACTATGAGTTTGTCTTCATAGCATCATGTCAGGCCCATAAAGTTATGTGAATTTTACGGGGTTTAACGAGATTGACAAGAAACTGAACCAATTTTGAGGTGGCTACAGTATGTTCTTCATAATATTCAGCTGACTAAAGTCAAAGTAGACTGGAAATTGTTATGCGTATAATTCCCGAGAAATGTTAAATGTATTATTGGTGACTCTAAATGGTGACAGGTTTAGTTAGGCGAATGTGTAGTCTTTTGCATTCCATAAATACCTTTATTGTTATAGTTATTTCTTGTTTGTTTGCCATTTCAATGTAGCCATGTAAAGTGTTGTTACATTTCTTATTGTTACAGAGTATTACCGAAAAGTCATGTGCTCTTTATTTTTGATCACCAAAGGCGTGACTTGTTAATCGTCTTTTAACCTACTGGTTATTTGTGCAAATTATTCTCTTTTTTGCCGTGAACATTAGACTATATTGAAGAGATCCTGTTTTAATTACACTCTGTAATTTTACCGTCGATAATTGAATTTGATGTAAACTCTTAGTTCCAGTGGTAAACTGGTCTTGATACAGTCAACACATCTGTGGCGGTAATTGACTCCATAACACTACTAGCCTACACAGCTTCACCATCTTTTAACATTGTTTAAGTTAACCGGTTAAGCTGATAGTAGGCGATCAAACACCCACGTCAGTTGGCACATTGTCGTCTTGTTGCATTCAATTATTCATGCACGTACTTCTAGTTAACTAAGCATGCATCACGGCTCAGTTGCACCGTTCTTGAATTGTATTCCTTATTGTTGTTCTAATTTGGCTTACCGACTGCTTTCTGGTATACATCGAATACGCACATTTAGAGTTGAAGGATAGATAGTACATATATATATATATACTGTAGTTTCATTGTATCATCTCTGCTCGTCAACATCTTCACCATAACGAAGATATATATATATAATTGAAGGGTAGCAATATCGTTCAATATTTAGTAGAAGAACTATGTCATTCTGACAGCTCTTTATTAGTGTCGCTGACAGTTAGCTATTATTTCACTCACTACTTGAAATTTCTGTAGCACTCTTTCTTAATTTATTAACACTATTGAAAAGTCTTACCTGATCTTTATCTTTATATATGCAGAGGAGGTTATTGAGCTAAATTAACTAACGTTACTGATTACTATGGCACACTGTGATTTTGATAATAGGTAGAAGAAGAAATATCTGAATAGGAGTGCGCGGATCTAGTCTCTTTGCTGGCGTTCATTATCAAGATATGCCTGCAATCTAACATCTGATGTCGAATTACGCTGCATAAAAGTGTCATACCACATCGTTTAGTAACAAAACTCGAAAACTGCCAAGACTCGACAGCTGCATTAGTTACAATCTATAGCTGTCAGCTCCCATACAAAGCCATGTCGCACCGATTGTTAGTCGTGGACCGATCAGCTTAGTGGTGAAGTCTGCGAATTCAGAACTAAGTGAACTGAGTATTACAGCTGACTAGTCTGAATATGTAATATATCAGTAGTTTTCACTACTGAAAATATTTTCAGTAAGCAATTTCTGCTTTTTTTAAATTGTTTTCTTTATTCATCCGAGTTGTTTATACGAATATGCGTGAGAGTGGGTGTACATATCTGTATACGTATACCAATTATCTTTAGTGAATACAGCTTTTGGCGTTGTAGCAACCATAATGATTAATTCATTAAAGCAGGAAAAACAACATTCACCGCTTCTACATTGACGTGATGGTGGGGGTTGCATATAGCAGTGATTCTCAATGACCTAAATGGCTGAAAAAATGTTCTTACTGGTCCAACTAAGCCGTTTGGGTTAACAGTTAGATGGGTACTCTACTTACCGCTTGTTATTCACAAGTTTGTATTCTCATTACTTGCAGTTACCCATGGAATAAAGGAAAATAATAATTTTCTATCGACTTTCTCTTTACCTGTTTTAGGTGTTGCCATGGGTATAGCTGGTAGCGATGTGAGCAAACAAGCTGCTGATATGATATTATTGGATGATAATTTTGCCTCCATTGTGACTGGTGTCGAAGAAGGCCGTATTATCTTCGATAATTTGAAAAAATCAATAGCATATACGTTGACGTCGAATATCCCTGAAATTACACCCTTTTTAATTTACATTCTCGCTGATATTCCATTACCCCTGGGTACAATTACTATCCTGTGCATCGATCTTGGTACTGATATGGTAAGTGAAATGTCAAATTACTTATAGTTTTTTATGTTGTTACATATTTGAACATTGCGGTACGTCTTTGAATTTAAGTAAAAACTGTAAGTGCAAATTATTCTACACATGAAGATGGTTTTTGCTTCTCTGACTTTTGACACTCGATTTTCTAGAATCAAACTCTTGTTCGTTGAAGTGCTTTTCTTATTTGAAACGCGCATCTATCTGTTCGCACTGTGAATCATTCGCTAGTGGAATGATGGTACACTTTATTACTAATTTACCAATTCTTGGTAGCCAATAATTATATTCAGTCTGTCTATAAAAACCAACAAGTATGAAGAGTAGACACCATTCTTCTTTATGACTGTCTCTGTTATGATTTCTTCTTGAAATGATATGCAGGATTTTGTAGCTCGAGTGGATGACTTTTACATGGGTGCGTTTCCTGGACCCTAAGCTTGGTGACTTCGTGACTGAAAAAAAACACAACTAAATTCCAAGTCAATGAAAATGACCAATGCTGATGAAAATTAACAGCCAATCACAATTTAAATAACATAATTTCATGCTGAAGCTTGCACTGGAGAGATGTTGTCTAGATAAACAATGAATGCTTCTTATTGAAATCAACCAGCTCAGAGAATTCAACCACATGGAAATGGTCCCTTCTACTGATTTTATGTATATATTTCAGAGAAATAAATAAAAATCTTAACTGATTCGTTCAAATTGTATATCATAATTTGTATTCATTTGTTAAGTTATTAAAGATTTAACACTATTTCTGCCAAAATTAACAAAGGAAGGAGATTATACAGTGGGGAATTAAGTGGCTATTCCCGTTTGTCAGTCAACTGTAATTCAGTTCACAAGAGATAGGACTTTCTGTGATGAACGGCATATTGTGTCATGTCAGTTTATTGTAAGCAAGTGAGGTTTTTTTGCTGTCTTTGAAATCCCACCACTGGTTAAATGTTTGAATGGAAAGTAATTTTTAACAAGAGTGTGGGAAGTTGCGAATTGCTTACATGACATGTTGTCTAAGTCTAACTGTGCAATACATCCTTCATGTGTATGTTTCACCGCTGAACTGTGTTGAAGTGTTGCTCCTATAAAGAGGAAATGCATAATTGGAGGGTGATATTTTCTTCTAAGACGGTTTGATTTTTTTCATAAAAGCTGTTCTTCTCGACACAGATTCATTTTATAAACACTTCATTGGTTATTAAGAATTTTCGTGGCTCTTTAAAGGTGGGCTGTAGTCCCTTTCTATCATACTAGTTGCCAAACCAAAGTAACTGGTCAGTCACGCATACTTTTACAAAATAAGTAGTTGTTACTGCAGACAATTTAAAAAAACGGTTTTTTATGTTGCTCAAAATATTTGTAGAAGCATGTAGGTTGGAGAGGGACAGGGTTTTAACCAATTTCTTGTCTCTTTACACACCCAATTAGAAACTTTCTTGGGCAGAAACAATCTTAGGTTTCGTAAGTTCAGTGAATAACTTTTTGACTTTTTAAATGAGGTAGGTATTGGGTTCAAGTCTTATTGGAGACACCATAATTATCATCACTCAATGAGAACTGCAAGCACATCCAACTAAAATGAGTCTTAAATAGAAAGAAATGCGCTTGCCCTGGCTTCTATTGCCAGTCACCATCCACCAAATTACTGAAAACGACTGTTGATTTTTTTATTTTCAGATTTTGTTTCAACTCATTGTTTCACTTATTGTTGTTGTTGTTGTTTAGATTCCAGCTATCTCACTTGCTTATGAAGAAGCTGAAGCTGATATTATGAAGCGTATGCCACGTGATCCTCTGCATGATAAACTAGTTAATGAACGATTAATTTCAATGGCTTACGGTCAAATTGGTATGATTCAAGCTTCTGGTGGTTTCTTTGTCTATTTTGTTATTATGGCTGAGAATGGATTTTGGCCATCACGTTTACTTGGTATTCGACGTGAATGGGACTCGAAAGCTATCAATGATTTAGCTGATTCTTATGGACAAGAATGGGTGAGTTATTCAAACAAAAATGAGGACAAATTATATCACATCAGAGTTATCAGCATCTGGTTTTCGGGAATAAGTTGATCAGTAAAGAGCTCACCAGAAGAGACTAGGTCTTACAATACTCTTTAATCCTATCACTCCATAAGGTATGCCTACTTTGCATGTACGAGCTTCATAGTCTATCAAAAACTATTGGTTACAGCCAGTTCTTGAGAATTTCATTTATTTTTAATGTCACATTAACTGGAAAGTGTACAGACGAATACCAACAAGTTTGCAGAAGAAGCAGTGAAGATAGAACTTCAAGTGGATATAGAAAAAAAACAGATATGATGAAGATAACCAACAAACAACAACAGCGAGCACCAATCACCATCAACGGGGGAAATTTGAAGATCACTTTTTTGAATCATCTAGGAAGCATCGTTTCAACTACAGGCGGATCGGTCGTGATAATGCCAAAATTAGGATCAGAAGGGCAAGATAGACCTTCATTAATCTGAAATCAGTTTGAAAATCTGTTGCACTCAGTGTGCAGAACAAGATTCAGATTTTCAGTACTGATATCAAGTCAATGAGTCTTCTATGGTTCAGAGACCTGGCACATCATCAAAACCAATCCCAACAGGCTTCAGAATTTTACCAACATCTGCCTTCTCTGCCTCCATCGACCAGGGATGATAAACAACACGAAACTCTATCAGTCAGAGAACCATCCGGTAACCCAAAGCCCAGCAAATATTCCCAAAGGAATGTTAATTAATAGGACAGACACTAAGGAGATAGTTGAGTAATATTGCCCTCCAAGAAGACCCTTGAGTGGACCTGCATAGGGAACGACTAGTCGGGAATGGGTCGGAGGAGATGAAAGCCTATGTGTGATTGTGGAACCAGCTAATGAGGACTGCAGGATCAAATGGAAATGTGTTGTAGGAGTCCTATGTTCCACTCGGAATCTAATAATATAATAATACTGATAAATGTAAAGCTACCGGTATACATCTTTTGGCAGCAATTTGACTTGGTAATTGTTTACATTTGTAAGTTGCATTGTTGTCTGTGCTGATTTCTTCAGAGCAATCATACGTGAAATACACATTTAAGGAATTGTCTTGCGTTAACCAAAGTCACAATAATACTGTCGTTGTGGAAGGTGACGGGACCAATGGCTTCTGTAGTATCGCTACACCATCGAATTTCTCTTATTTCGTACAAATTTTGATAGAAAATATTATCTTTATTAAAACACAAACTCGGTACACTATGGGCACCAATAATAGATGCAGAACACAAAATAACATGGTTTGTGCAAAGGCTGCGATACTGTCCGGATACCTAAGAAGAAACAGGTGGTTGTCGTAAGTGGCCGAGCCTTTCACTTGAAGTCTGTTCCATGAAGCAGTGGAGAAGCGTCCATATTTGAGTTCCCATGGTTGATGATGACCAAACCAGGTTCGTACGCCATTCAATCCTTTCAGATTTTGGCTCCGATGTATGCGATAGGTTGTAAATGAAGGTTTTCCATGTCTCTTATGTAGACCAGCAATCCGGTCATAGGCTCCAGACTTTCGAATTCGCCCTGTCACTTTTGTGAGGAAAACTACCAGCTGCTTGAAGACAGTAAATGGGACTTACATTTCATAGACTATGAACGTGTGGCCAAATGTGAGAGCATTTCGGGAGGAAGACCGAAGTCTACCCACTCTCTTCTGTACCAGGTCGTTTATGGAGGCGATAAAATTTTTTTCTTTTCCTTCACATTCCCCAGCGGAACATAGGGCTTCAGGCTAGTGGCTTGAAGTTTCTGTAGCAGTGTTTATTTTACAGGATGGGGTTTCGAGCCTCATGTTCAACCTTTCCTCTTCACCAGCATTATTTCTGCCTTAGCGAGGTAAAGGAGTGCGCTGGCCGGGGATCGAACCCCGGAGCGCATGCGTGGTCGGCGAGCACTCTACCACTGTGCCACCGACTCAACGGCTATAAAATACGTAGTATAAATGACGCAATCAACCGTTCTTATTTCTACCACTTGTAACTGCTTATTTTATTCTAATGATATTCACTTGTTTAATATTCTAAGTGCGTTAGCATCTCTATCCATTTCCCAAACTATAATATTTAAGCCATCTCTTGCATTGTATTCATTAGCAAAACAAAAAGTTTTCTGTACTGTGTTTAGGGAGTGAACGAGTAGTGCTCTTGTTTCTACTACAATGAATTTATCAGTTCTTGGAAATAATTTTCTAAACCTATGATTTAAAAATTTTTTTATTTGTACAGACTTATCATCAGCGTAAACGCTTAGAATACACATGCCATACAGCATTCTTTGCATCAATTGTCATTGTCCAATGGACTGATTTAATGATTTGCAAGACACGTCGTAATTCAATTTTCCAACAAGGCATGTGGAATCATCATCTAACCTTTGGTTTATTCTTTGAAACAACTTTGGCTATATTCTTGTCCTACTGTCCTGGTTTAGACAAGGGTCTACGTATGATGCCTATGAGGTGAGTGTTTCTTTCAATAATGGAGAAGCTTGAATTGCTAATTCTCTAAAAAAATTTTATCACTGACTTTATGGCTGTGAGATACGGCCATTGAGAGTAGAGGACATAAAAAGCCTGGCTAGCTGTCTTTGGTCCTAAGTGCCTGCGTTCTATCTCCGTGTGAAGTGGTATAATAAGGTGAACAATACTGAGGTAAGGCATCGGTCGAGTGCTAACTAAGGAGAGAAAATCAATCGACCAGGTTGTGAAGTTACACCGGTTGAGATGGTTAGGGCATGTGTTACACATGCCTAGCCATCGCCTTCCTCGATAATTGTCAATGTTAGCTGACATACGATTGATCAGGTTGGAAAAGAGCTAGTGATAGTCAAGTGAAAACATGGCTTCATCAGTCAATGAAACTTACAACAGTTAGTTCAAGCCAGTCACCTATGGAGGTGTACACTGTCAGCCTGGTTGGGTTCCTCGGGATGGTTAAAACCAATGAGGGCTGGAGATAACTGCTGATATGACCCAAAATCGTTCTCAATGGCTGGTGCAGATGCATTTACTCTTTGTGATTGATAATATCCAGTAAAGCTCTATTGTTCTTCTATATTACTATTCTTCTTGCCTCATATCTCAGTTTACTGTCTCGACTTTGCATTTCTCTTTACTTTCTTCTCTTGCTTTGTGTGCTAAGTGAAGTGTGGCGACTCGAACTGCTGCACATCTGTGCAAGGTTGTATGTTGAAACCAGTCAGTCATTTATCATTAACTAGTGATGTATGGTTTAACGAAAGATTAAAAGCCGACAGTTATTGGACAGTTGTTTCATTGTAATATATTAAATTGACCCCCGGCTGGTTATCATTGGCTTACTAATAAGAATACAAATGTCAAGTTAGTTTTACATACCAATTGGACTCTCAGTTAGGCAACATGATTTTCTGTCTAGTAGGAGGGGGATAATTTGATTATCATGCCTGAATCTGTGGATGGGCATAATTACAACAGTAACATAGCCAAATTTTAGATCCAGTAATTGAAGATGCGTAACATATTCTAGCCATTGAGGAGATGAACTTTTATAACTTCAAAAAAAATTCTTTTTGATACTTTCGTCTTAATCAGGTTCTACAGTTACATATCCATAATAATCAAAGAAGTTTTGTTATTAACAACATTAGTGTTTTTTTCTGAATAACATTGGGTCAATAAGACCATTAGATTACATTTCGAAAGCATCTGTTATTGATAATATGCATTAAAATGTATTACTAAAGTGAGTATCAGATAAATTAATTAAAAAAATAATACAGAATTTGTAAATTTATAGGCTAAGCAGCTAGTTGGGGTAACAATAGTGACTGAGCCTATCTGGTTTGTTCATGAGGCTGTGGTTGTTTTAAGCGAATACAAATTGTCTTTACTGTTTTGAGCGTTCAGCATTTAGAGACCTCTGGCAATTTATTCAGTATACAAAAATTGATAGGAAAAGACTCTCCAATAGCCTCTTTGTATGAGGTGATCTGATATTGAACTGTTAACAGTACCAACTGGATCTTTACTTAGCTACACTGGTAGGTATTCTCGAGTACGAAAAATTAGGTCCCTAGAGCAATGGCCAATACAACTGGCACCAAAGGAGTATTTCGATCGATAGATACAAAAAGAGTCAGCTAGTCTAATTACTTCATCTTTCAGTTTCGGAACCGTAGTTGGTCGTATGGCAAATATGAGTTGCAGCTTACCGGCATTAAAAGTCCTTCTTATCAATCTTTTCAACTTGTGATTATTATTTTGGCTTGTTATATGACCTTTTGATTGCAGAAACTACTTGTCAGCAGATACAGAAGAATTCTCTCCAAATCTCTCTCGGCCCCATGTGTTTCGCGTTATTTTTCGCAGGGTAGATGTTTTCAGTTAATGTTTCATTTGTAATCTTAACTTCATCTCCAATTGCATCTGAACAGATAGCTCTGACCGTGTAGCTGAGGATCTTTGCCGAATTTCGTTTGTATTGGATAACAATTCGTTCATGTATCTTACACAGGATGAATGAAGTAGATGATAGCAGCATACTCAAACTTAAATATACGTGTTCGAGTATGACGCTTTTATTGACCTGACGGAAGTTCTTCAACCACCGATATACTACAAAAAAGCAGGTTTTTTTTTTTTTATTTATTCGATATATATATATATATATCTTTCATTTCCTCTTAAATTACAGGTTCACTTGGTGGCTTCCAGCATTACCGTTCAGTTTACTTATATTCATCTATGATGAAGTAAGAAAGTTCCTGCTCCGGCGGTTACCACCTGGATCATGGCTTGAAAAGGAGACATACTATTAGTAGTAGTTCTAGTAGAAATAGCATCTTATATGATAAATGTCACTCATATATACATATATATATATATATATTCTAACCTGTAGTTTCAAGGAATTGATTTTGTCTCTGTCTCTCCATCCCATATATATATATGTGAAAGTACTGATTCCATGCTTTTATTTCCTATATATGTCTTAGCAATCACTGTTATCTTACATTTCTTTTCCGTTCTGCAAACTTCATCGACTCTTCTCTCCTTCAATGGCTATTCCTCTCTAACATCTTTCTCCTTTCATTTTGTTGTTTTGTGTCTATTTCATGATTTCTAGAAGTCAAGATTTCTGTGTCTGTCTCTGGATTATATTTCATCATGCTATATAAGTTTGTTTTTTCACAATGTAATCAATTGTTTGTTACCTATCATTGCTATTTTATTGATTGTTGTCATCATTCGTTATAATACACATTGATAAGTAGATAAGTATGCGAAATAGAAATTTGCCTTACAATTACACACACACAAACGCACACGAGCATAAGTAATTTGTACTTTCTTGTCGTTAATACTACGCATTACACTTCTGCTACCATTAGTAATAAGGTGATAATCCTAGCTATCATAATTACACTAGTGATGATAATGTGAAACACACTCTCCTTTTTTATTAGAGAAATTCATACTTTCCCTCTCCCCCCTCCCCTTCCCTTCATCACAATTGATTCGTTTGTTTTCATTCCTTTTATTTTACTTCACTGTACAATATTATATCAGTTTGCTATTATTTTGTCTTGTGATTTTTTCATTTCGATCTCTTATGTATGTCTTGTTGTTAATTGGATGGATGTCTGCGTCTGCGTGTGTGTGTGTATTATTTTAGCAGTGTGCTGCTGCTAGAGAAGAATGTGATTATCTTTCTCCTTTGACTTTTATTTCCATTTCTCACTCTTCATATTCTTTATTCTATTTTATTTTTTGGTCTGTTTTAGTGAGAATTATGCAATCATATCTGTTAAATTCTGTGTAATCATTCGGCATCGGAGCATGTTTGTGCATGTCTATATATGTGTGTGGTCATCGAATATTGGCTAGTTGCTGTAACCTTTTCTTTTTCGTGATTATATTCAATAATAATAATAATAATAATAATAATAATAATAATAATAATAATAATAATAATAATGTTAATGAATATCAATTAGCCTAACGGTGATTGATTTCTAATACTCGTTATAATTCAATCTTTATTTTGATGACTTTGAGATTCTCATGTCCTGTCTGTATGCACATGTGTCATCCATGTTTGTTAGTTCGTTTGAGTGTGTGTGCGCGCATGGATTTTGCTTCATTATTGGTTTCTTTATTTCATTTTTGTTTTGGCATATACTTCACACACGAGACAGAACTTTATCCCTTTCATACCTCGTTGCATATTGTTGTTTATTTCTTCTTTTGTGAAATTGGAAGAAAATCAGAGTTTGTCTTTTTTCCCTGTCGCGTTGGTTTGCTCCAACTCCCATCCCCGTCTCGTCCTCGAGATCTCATATAATTAAATAGATATGTTTACAGTTTACCTATTAGATAATTTTCTTATTTTCCTCTCTCAGTAGTTGCGTCATAACTCTCTCACTGTAGTATTTCTGTACCAATCACCTAGATATAACTACCTATCATCAGCATGCTTCTAAGATAATGAGAGTAGAGGAAAAGAACAAGTGCGGGATTATTTGAACTGAAGTCATGGATAGCTGGACAGCTGAACACACACATACACACACTGTCTCTCATTCTTTATTGTTCTACTCTCTGTTATTTGATTGTTTCCATTGTTGTCGTAGTTGTGTTTGTTTCACCAGTTGCCGTGTTGTCTTTCAAATGGTACGGCGGCTCATTTAGACTATACAATTTAGATAATTCATCCATTTTTGTCTGAGTATTATCATTATTTGAGCAATAATCATAGTTAGTATAGTGATACAATTGGTGCTAAGAATAATCAATCGTGAGTAAATAATACTGCACACAACCACCAAGTTTTCGCTGCACATATATATATATATATATATATATATAAATCGGTCTCTCTCTATCTCTTCACTTTTTGTTTTTCTGTTCTTGATTTTGTTAACTCGTTTGTTTGTGTGTTCTTTTTCCGTAGGATTCTGAATAAATAGAATTTATAAAAAAAATGATTTGCCCAACGAATTTGTGTCTTACTCCCTTTGAAATTAATAAATAGACAGTTAGTAGCTGCACACTGCATTACTTACTTCTTTTTTGAGTGTAACAGTATTAGACAAACTTATAACAAACACATGTGTATTTGTTCTAGGTATATCATTTTTGATAATTATTAAATCACAAGCTCAATGTCTATTTTGAAATAATGGAGAGTTGTGGGTCAAGTGGGTAATTTTGTTGTGGTTGCATTTTTCTGAGCTGAAGCTCTCGTCGTCCTCCATCTAGACAACATCTCTTCATCAGTCCAGACTTCAAAAGGAAGCAAAGTTATTTCAATTTTTCCTCTATGTGAACGTTACAACTTTATCTCCTGGAGACCGTTGTCGTGATTGCTTGGGAATTTGTATCATTATTGGTCGTTTTCATTGACTTAGAATTTAACTTTCTCGTCGTCATGTGACTTATTCTGTATTGGTCGGTGAATTTGATCTATGGTGATGCTTTTGTTAATTTCTGATCCATCTGAGTGTCGAGATTCTAGGCATTCTCAGGGACTTTTGGTGTCTCCAGCTACATATGTATATATATCCTGCTAAATTTACTAGTTTACATATATGTCACAGGGTTTCATCATGAGCTGACATCGGTTAGAGAACCAGCACCCTAGAATACTGGACAACTGTTTCGTCCTGGTTTGGGACTATTCATCAGTACGCACCCACCGGGATTTGAACCCAGGATCTTCTGGTTACAAGGCGAGCTCGTTGACCATTAAACCACTGGGATCCTATCCAGTGACCAGTACATGAATTCCGACTTCTACCAATTCACACCATATCGCGTCACTAGTCAATGTCTGCGGTGAGTAATTATCCTCACGCCCGACCTCCTATACCCTAGTGTTCACGACTTCTCATTAGAACCCCAGGTAACCTACCTGAAAGGGCCAGTCGCAAACTAGGACGAAACAGATGTCGAGTACTCCCTGTTGATTTTCCAGTGATTCTCTAACCGATATCAGCTCAGGATGACATCCTGTAACCAGCCAATCAAATCCCCACAAACCAATATTTGAATTACAAATGTGTTGACTCGTTTATAGCGGAGACCCATCGATCTTGCAGGTTAGTGTCACAGAACACATTCCAAAGTGACTGCAATAACGAATGAAATCACCTGATACAATTAATCCTGGAAATAGATGTCTAACATCATCTATCACAAAGTACATGATAGAGAAGGATCACAAAATTGATTTCAATGGTGCCTTTAAGCCCACATATAAAATAGGTTTGAGTCACATACTTAAGTGCGTGGAAGCCTGTTTTACGTGTTCAAAAATTACTTTTCATTACTTTAAACCTGCCTTGGTAATGCAATTTTAGAACCGAAGCTCATTTCATTTATGCTCTATAAACATCTTGACTTATATTGATAAAATCGTAATCCTTTACTATCTGTTACCTTTTAAATAAATATGTGTGACAAGCACGTGTGCAATCAGAATGTTCAAAATGTGTTACGCAGGTAAATTAAACGTTTCAGATGAATTTTATCTTCTTATTGCTTTGTTGAAATTCATACAAGGAACTAATGGCTATAGACTACAACTATCCCGAAGTGTTTAAGCTGTTTAGGAAAGTAGTGAATAACTTCATTTGTGATCAAAATACTGTCTTTTAATTTTCAAAAGAAAGACGGAGATATGTTTTTCAAAAGTGAACTTCAACACTACAACGGCTTTGAATATCTGTCAAATTCACCTACTTAAATTAACAGTTAATTTGTTCAAGTATTGGTTTGCAGCGGCTGCATGATATACGAATTCTCCTGGTAACCCCAAGGTTCTGGGTTCGACCTTTGTTGTGGGTGCCTACTGGTGAAGAATCCCAAACTAGAATGAAATAGCTGTCGAGTGGTTTTCAATGGTTCCCTAAATGAAATTAATTTGTGAAAAAAACTGAAAATAATTAAATCATTGAAGTGTTTTCACAGAGAAACACACGTGGATGTGACTGTATCGCCGTTATCGAAATACAAGGGTTTTTGTGTGTAAATTATGTCTTCTTGCTTCTCCCTTCACCCACCCCACTCATTCATTTATAAACACACCTACTATATGTAGATTAGAGGTCACATTCATTTATGATTTAAATAAACAAAGAAGAGTTTGTTTTTATAAAAATCAGTAATAATACTCTCGCACTCAATTGTTATTGATTTCTTTGTTTTTCCAGTTCGTTTTTCTCTGTGTTTACCTTCCCTTCTCTTCATATTTTTTCTTTTCTGCTTTCCATCATTTGTTTACCTTCTAGTTAGTGAAGTTTATTTTTAGACTAAAATCAAGTCAAATCTATGTCCAATATTCAGTTCTTTGTAAGTATATCTCTTGGATAAATCGGAGTCGGTTTGTTTAAAAGTATATTTAGTTATTCACATGTGCTCAGTCGATGGTTTAATTTCAGACGAGCTCGAGTTGGTGATGGATAGATAAGAAACATTGTCCACAAATTCACATATTTTCGGCCACTTTTGTTACTAAATCAAGGTTAGTTGTCATTGGATGGTTGGACTGATAGGCTGGTTTCAACATACAACCTTGCACAGATGTGCAGCAGTTCGAGTCGCCACACTTCACTTAGCACACAAAGCAAGAGAAGAAAGTAAAGAGAAATGCAAAGTCGAGACAGTAAACTGAGATATGAGGCAAGAAGAATAGTAATATAGAAGAACAATAGAGCTTTACTGGATATTATCAATCACAAAGAGTAAATGCATCTGCACCAGCCATTGAGAACGATTTTGGGTCATATCAGCAGTTATCTCCAGCCCTCATTGGTTTTAACCATCCCGAGGAACCCAACCAGGCTGACAGTGTACACCTCCATAGGTGACTGGCTTGAACTAACTGTTGTAAGTTTCATTGACTGATGAAGCCATGTTTTCACTTGACTACCACTAGCTCTTTTTCAACTTTGGTAGTTGTATATTTTATGGAGTAGGTGGCTTGCTAGCCTTACTGAATCTACTTTCCACCTAAGAGACATTTAGGAGTGCATCAGCTGAGAATCGGATCCTTACTATGTATGTGTCACGGTTGATAGGCATACTACCGTTGAATCACTGGTGTAACATTTTAAATGTATTACTTATTAACTAGTGATGAAGATTCCTGACCAGTGAAAATAAAAGAAAACACTCATCATTATTCATCGTTTTTACTGCAGAATTTTAAAGCTAATCAGCTAGAATAGGCTTGAAAAGCAAAAAAAAGGAGTTTATCACTCTATTAACCTACTTGGAAATCCATAGCTCTCAGTACAACAAAAACAAGGTGGGAATTTGCAACACTGATATCAAATCAGTGCTTCTTTCTATGGTTAGGGTTAGGGTTAGGGCTCATTACCAAAAGCCTTGTTCAAAAGGCTACGGAAAAATTCCATCGACAGCTGACTTCACCCGATACACAATGTCAGATGTTTCTAGGGAATTCGTAAGCAGGGAGGAACTCTGGTAGGTAGTGAGCTAGCCAACGACCTATTGTTTAAAAACAATGAATACTGTTGAGTGAAACACTAATGAGAAGCGATTTATTAAGTGTTGGTCAGTGGCTGATATAGAGGAAATCATATAAAATGGAAATGAGACCTTGTGGAAAATCGTGGAGTTAGCTAAATAACAACCGAAGAAAACAGACTGAAATGGCAATGTCCTACTGAAGCTTTATGTTGTTCCTTTCGGAACCTAAGGGGAAAATAAGAATAATGGTAATTTCATCAGGATGGTGAAGTGTGGTATATGTTGTTCAACAGGAAAAATAGTTTTTCTTTCTCTATATCTATCTGTTTTATACTGACTAAGTTTCTCAAACCTTATAAAAAGATAATTTTCATCTTAAAAATAATTTTAAAACAAAGCTATCAATTTGTAGTGACAAATCCTTCCTATGCAGAAGGAAATGGAGATGGATTAAGCATACGCTTAGGAGACTGTTGAGTGAGATCACACGTCAGGCTACCAAGTGAAATGCAAATAGGAAGCTATGTATTAAACGTAAGTCTGGGGGTGACATGTAGGAAATCATTTGAAGAGGGAATGAAAGCTTCTGGACAGTTGTACAGCTGGTTCCAGGTGATATCAGAAGGAACAGTGTAATGTAGAATGCCTCCAAAGTCCTATGTTTCACTCAAAATGGAAGTAGTGAATAATATTAATTATACCAGCAAACATCGATTATGACAATAATACGCCGCTGATTTCCAAGAATTATCCACAAATATTAATAGCATTTCCTTTGGTTGTGAGTGGAACATAAGGCTTCAACTACACATCTCTACATTATTCTATTTTCCGCTGTCCTCTTCAACTGGCCCCACGATTGCCCATAATCTCTCACCTCCTACTCCTCACAATATCCCCTCCATGTCATCCTCACACCGATGACCCACTCGTCACTTCCCAATCGAATTCAACTCGAGCAATGGTCAGCGTTGCGCGTGATGTCATTCGGTGGTCTCCTCAACCTATACCCTAGCCATCTCCATTTCCTCTTACATATTTGTTGACCATTAGGCTCTTGGGTGGTTTCTTCATCGCCAGAGTTTCTTGTCACTAATTATTTCTCGCTGGCCATTCGATATTCAGTATGGATCCAGCAAAGTGGGCAGCTGTTGATAGAAGTCTGCAACCTGTTGGAAATCCTTTTCGTGACACGCTCACCGTTTCTCTGACTCATATCAAAGCAGTGACTGACTGGCTTCACATTTGTGTCGAACAGAATCCGAATCTTGTTCTTTACGCTGACTGAGAGCAGAAGATTTCCAAACTGATTTCAATCTGATGAAGATGTATCTCCCCTTTTCGAGACTGGCTGGCTGAATTTGACAACTTGATCCGTACCTGCGGTTGAAACAATGCTTCCTAGCCAGATATGTGAAGCCGGGAAGTAACTTCTATCAAATCTCTCGCGTTGATGGTGATTGGTGATGGTTGTTGTTGCTGTTGTTGTCGCTGCTGCTGCTGTTCGTTGGTTATCTTCATCACCTCCATCTTCTCTGTGTTGGCTTGGAGTCCTGTCTTCGCTGCCTGCCTCTCTTCTTCAGCCAGTTTGTTGGTTCTCGTCTGCAAATCTGCGAGCCTGTGTGACACTAAACAAAATCATCCACACGCAAAATCCAGATCTTTGGGAATCTTATTGTCGGTCAGTCCAAAGTATTCCTGTCTCTTCACTCCTTGTACACAG